ACAAACAACCCGGGCTTCCCTGGTGGCGCAGTGGTTGAGAGTCCACCTGCCGATGCAGGGGACATGGGTTTGTGTCCTGGTCCAGGAAGATCCCATATGCCGCGGAGTGGCTGGGCCCGTGAGCCATGGCCGCTGACCCTGCACGTCCAGAGCCTGTGCACCCCAAAAGGAGAGACAACAAAAGAGGAAGGCCCCCGGACACCAAAAAAAAAAAAAAAAAAAAAAAGGACAGAGGAACTGAATAGCCATTTTTCCAAAGAAGACATACAGATGGCCAAAGAACACATGAAAAAATCCTCAACGTAACTAATCAACATCGCAATGAGATTTCACCTCACACCTGTCAGAATGGCTATTATTAAAAAGACAACAAATAAGTGTTGGCAGGGATGTAGAGAAAAGGGAACCCTTGTGCACTGTTGGTGGGAATGTAAATTGGTGCAGCCACTATGGAGAACATGGAGACTCCTCAAAATGGAATTCCTCACTATGGAGATTCCTCAAAAAATTAAAAATAGAACTACCATGATATCCAGCAATTCCACTCCTGAGTATTTTTCCAAAGAAAATGAAAACACTAATTCAAAAAGACAAATACTGGATGATTTTGTTTATATGTGGAATCTAAAAAAACAAAACAAATGAAAAAACACAGCTAAACAGTAACAGAGTCAGAGATACAGAGAACAAACAGGTGGTTGCCAGAGAGGAGGGGGAGAGAGAGAGAAGACAAATAGGTAAGAGAGATTAAGAGGTACAAAGTTTCAATTACAAAATAAATGAGTCACAGATATGAAATGTACAGTGTGGGGAATAGAATCAGTAGTTTTGTAATATCTTTGTATGGTGACAGACGACAACTAGATTTATTGTAGTGATGGTTTTGAAATGTACAGAAATATCGAATCACTATGTTGTGGACCAGGAACTCACATAGCGTTGTAGTTCAATTATCCTTCAAAAACAAACAAACAAACAAACTCATAGGAAAAGAGATCACATTTGTGGTGATCAGAGGCAAAGGGTGGGGGCAGAGGGAATTGGATGAAGGTGGTCAAAAGGTACACATTTCCAGTTTTAAAGTGAATAAGTGCTAGGGCTGCAATGTACAACATGTTAAATAGAATTCACACTGCTATACGTTATATATGAAAGCTGTGCAGAGAGTAAACCCTAAGAGCCTAAGAGTGCTCATCACAAGGAAAAGATACATTTTTTCTATTTCTTTAATGGTGTATCTATATGAGATGACAGATGTTCACTGAACTTACTGTGGTCATCATTTTATGATGTATGTGAGTCAAATCATTACGCTGTGCATCTTACACAGTGCTGAATGTCAATTACATCACAATAAAACTGGAAAGAAAAAAAAGATGTTATAAAGTCTAAAAATAAATCCAAAGAAAGCAGAGGAATGAGATAACAAGCAAGAAAGCAAAGATTAATAATATAGAAAAAAAACTAAAAAGGATCAATAAAGTAAAAAAGTCATTTCTCTTTAAAGACTAATATTGACAAACCCCTCACAGGATTAGTAAAAACAAAAGAGACAATGCCAACAAGCAACATTACCAATAAAAGAGATGATATCATTACAGATGAGGTATGGTATATTAAGCATGACTTCACGCTAATAATTGTGAAAACAATATGCAAAGGATCAACTTCTAGAAAATAAAACTCATCAAAAGAGTCTCAAGAGGAAATAGAAGACCTGAATAATTCAATCACCATTAAAGATACTCAATAACAAAAGTTAATCTTCACACAAATAAAAGAGCAGGCCTGACAACTTTATAGACCAGATCCACCAAACATTCAAGCAAAAAATCATACCCACCTTATACAAACTCTTCTAGAAAACAGAAAAAGAGAAAACATTTCCCAGTTCACTTTACCAGCCAAATACAGCACCAATACCAAAACTAGACAAGGTAAGTATGAGAAAGGAAAACTATAGGCAAACCTCAGTCATGAACATGGATGTAAAATTATTGTATAAAAAAAGTTATGTCATGACTCTGGTTTTCTTTTCTTTTTTCTTTTTTTTTTGCAGTACGCGGGCCTCTCACTGTTGTGGCCTCTCCCGTTGCGGAGCACAGGCTCCAGACACGTAGGCTCAGCGGCCATGGCTCACGGGCCCAGCTGCTCTGCGGCATGTGGGATCTTCCCGGACCAGGGCAGGAACCCGTGTCCCCTGCATCGGCAGGCCGACTCTCAACCACTGCGCCACCAGGGAAGCCTGACTCTGTTGTTTTTAATCTCAGGAATGTAAGGTTAATTTAATATTAGAAAAGTGATCAGTGTAACTTACCTTTTTAACAGATAGAAGAAAAAAGCTAATTCTAATAATAAAGTATTTAATAACATTAAGCTTCATTAATCTGATAAAAGGTTCATACAAAAATGAAAACAAGGGGCTTCCCTGGTGGTGCAGTGGTTAAGAATCTGCCTGCCAATGCAGGGGACACGGGTTCGAGCCCTGGCCTGGGAAGATCCCACATGCCGCGGAGCAGCTAAGCCCGTGCGCCACAACTACTGAAGCCTGAGCGCCTAGAGCCAGTGCTCCACAACAAGAGAAGCCACCGCAGGGAGAAGCCCGCAAACCACAACGAAGAGTAGACCCCGCTCACTGCAACTAGAGAAAGCCTGCACACAGCAACGAAGACCAAACAAAGCCGAAAATAAATAAATAAATGTATAAACAAAACCAAAAACCTAGAGTAGAAAAGTTTTTAGTGATGAAATCTACAGTCAACAATTACTAGTAAAAACTTTTCCTTTGGGCTTCCCTTGTAGCACAATGGTTGAGAGTCCGCCTGCCGATGCAGGGGACACGGGTTCGTGCCCCGGTCCGGGAAGATCCCACATGCCACAGAGCAGCTGGGCCCGTGAGCCATGGCCGCTGAGCCTGCGCGTCCGGAGCCTGTGCTCCGCAACGGGAGAGGCCACAAGAGTGAGAGGCCCGCCTACAGCAAAAAAAAAAACAAAAAAAACTCTTTTCCTTTGAGAGAGGGGTAATACCAGGACATAGCCAGTGCTAGTCAGCATGCTGCAGGCCTGGACAGCACATTAAACAAGAAAATGCAACAAAAATAATAAGAATTGGAAAAGAAACAAATTCATCACTCTTCTCAGATACTATACTGTCAGTTAGAAAAGCAACAAGGATCTACAGAAAAATGAGTAAAGTTAACTACAGTTTAACAAGTTTGCTGGATACAGCATAAACTTAAAAGGCCAGCTGCATGCTACAGTATCAGCAACTACTTGGGAGAGGTAATTTTAAAAGAGATACCATTTACAACAGCAACAAGATGATAACGTATCTAGGAATAAATTTCAAGAGATGTATAAGCCCTTTATGATGAAAGACATTAAAGAAGGCCTAAATAAATAAAGAGATATACCACATTCTTGGATAAGAAGATTCAAAATTGTAAAGATGTCAATTCTCCCCAAATGGGTCTGCAGAGTCAATCCAATTCCAAAGTAAAATCTCAAAAGGGCTTTTTGTAGGACTTGGTAAACTGATCCTAAAATTCACATAGAAAAAACAAAAAAAGGAGCACGAAGAGCTAAGAGACTCCTGAAGAAGGAATTCATCCTGTCCAATTTCAGGACCTATAAATCTATAGCTACTAAATCAATGCACTCTTGGCAGTGGGATAGGCCAAGGGACAGAAAAGCAACTCAGAAACAGACCCGCACATACGTGGGAACTGTATGATGGGGCTGGCGTTGCAGGGAAAGGATAGACTTCTCAATAAGTGGTACAGGGAACAGTGGTCATCTGTTTGGGGAAAAACTGATGAAATTAGATCCCTGTGAGGGAGAAGAATGAAAACAGAGGGCTGTGAGCCAGCCTGAGAACTGCTAACAGGGGCAGGTCATGAGAGCAGAGCTGTAGTGGTGGACGCGGCACAGCCGAAGCTGGCCAGTGAGACGCTGCAGCACTGGGGTGGGGTGGAAGCTGGACTGGAGGGGGTTAAACACTGAACTGGAAGCGAGCAAGGAAACGCTGAGGGCAGCACTGCTGAGAAATTTCACTTTGAAGGGGAGCAGAGAAATGGGTGGGGGAGTGGGTCGAGAGACAGGCGACTGTTCTGAGGCAGGCAGTTCTCTCATCACGACACAGAGTGAGAGGTGACAGATGAAGAAGTGGGAGGCTTTCAGAGTGAGGGAGAAGGGAGTCCGGAGCAGAGGTGCGGGGTCCCCACGAGCAGGGATAGTTCTGCCACTGTCCCGGGCGGCAAGGCAGCAAAGGCGGGCACAGGTCCAGTCAGGCTGGGGGATTTGGGGGTGGGAATGGGACGGGTGTCCCATGAAATCAGATGAGAGTGACAGTGGAGGCAGGTCTGAGGAGAGAGTGGGAACGTACTCATAGGAGCTGCTGGGGTCATGCAAAGTGCACAACTGAGGTTTGCGTCTGTGAATTTACAGGGAAAATACTGCCCCAGGTGTGTAACTTCTCTCCAGGCACAGTCAGCGGTTCTGGAGCCGGTGGAGAGGGTTCAACTAGGGTTATGGGGCAGAGGGACAAAGGGGCCGGGAAACTCGAGCGTTTGCAGGGGGAAGATTAAAATGGTGACTCCAACCTGGTAAGGATGAGGACTCTAGCCTGGTAAGAAGAGAAGGCGAGATGGGAGAGGAAGGATACCCCACGGATCTAGACGCCCAGGGAAAGGTGACAGAGAATCAATGAGGGAGACAGTGGGCCAGGAGGAAGGTCTCGGAATGAGGAGTGACAGGAAGGTGGCTGGACGGCAACGAAGCCTTCTCCCCTTGTCAGCACTCTGGCTCAGACCCCAGCAAGGGAATCAAATGTGGCTCTTTGGAATTTACAAGGACATTCAATATTTCATCCTCAAAGCAAACTCACGAGGTCAGCACAACTACCCCTACCTTACAGGCAAGGAAACCGAGGCTCAGAGAGAAGACATGTCCGGGGCAGCAGGGCCCAGACCCGCCCCCCTGCGCTCTCAAGGCCAGGTCACCTGGGTAGTTGCGGCAGCCCCCCGCGGTGCTCCCCCGCCGCCAGGTGCCCTCGTACAGGGTGGTGTTCCAGTTGCGGAACCTCTGGCTCTTGAGCGTGTCGGGCGTCAGGTTGCAGATCTCCAGGCGGGTGAACTCACGCATGAAGTCTCGGAAGGACATCCTGGGGGGGTCGAGGTGAGAGGTGAGCCAGGGCCCCCAGCCAGGGCACTGAGGGACGTGGCACGGCTGGGTTTGGGGGGATTGGGAGCTGGGGTGCCTGTCCCCAAGACTGAAGAGGGGGCTGCTCACCAGAACTCCCCATCCTCCATCTTGACCCGGAGCTGCTCCCGAACATAAGGGTCTACGTTGTTCCACTCCGGGGAGCTGTGGGGAAAGGGCATTGCCAGGGGCTGCCGGCCACTGACCTGCCCAGCCTCTGTCCCTGAGGCCTGTCCTCCCCTGGCGCGGGTCAGGAGGCCTCCTCCAGGCCAAGTCCAGAGATCCCAGTCCCAGCTGTCTTATAGGGGCTGGGTCAGATGCCCCGACGATGCTCACAGGCTGGGCACAGCGGCCCGCACAGCCTGAGCTCTGTCAGGGTGGTCCTCAGACCCAGTCACATGCAGATGGGCCCCTCTGTCCAATCCTGAGCCCACCCTGGGCTGGCAGAGCCCCCAGCAGAAATGCCAGTGGCACTGAACAGCCTCCCCCAGCCTCCCTGGCCAGTGTCCGCGGCCCCTCACCCGTCACTCCAGGCTCCTGTCCACTCCACCTCGCCCCAGGGGTTCCGCATCCGGATCAGGTTCACCATCTGGCCCTGGTAGTTCACCTGTTCCCCAGAGCTCCCATCAGTGCCTGCTTCTGGTACACACTTTTAGCACCCCTTCCCTCCACCTCACCCTAGCCGAGCCCAGCTCAGCACCCAGCACCCACCATGGGAAGCACAGCTGAGAAGCCTGATGGGGAGTAACCTGCTGAGGAAGGCAGCTATGTGCACAAACTAGGGGGGGCACAAGATAAACATCTCTGGATGAGAGTCCCCAGGAGATAGAAAAGGTGCTGCAGGAGGTCAAAGGAAGAGTCGGCCTCTCCCACAGCCCTGGCCACGGGCCAGAGAGACAAGGAAGCGGGGACGGCCCTGCAGGGAAGACCTCCACGTGGGGCAGTACCTGCTTGGCCCCGGTCACAGAGTAGGCATGGCCCTTCACTAGCTTTTTGAAGGTGACAGCCTCCATATCCAGAATGCTGGAGATCTGCAGAAAGACACACATACTATGGCCAGTGTCCCCATCCCCGGTCAGGAGATGAACCCCGAGTCTTGGCGTTCCCTTGCACACACAACAGCTATGCAAAGTGATAGGCAGGAACCCTGACCCCATCTCAGCCCCTGGAAGGGGTGCTGCCTGCTACTCCACCAATGTTACCACTGGTGGCGGGGCCTGGGCACCCCACTGACACTGCTTTTGGCCAGAGCTGGCCAGACCCTGTGCAAACATGCATGAACACACACATACAGCCATGCATAGCCCCTCGCCTCACCACAGAGCCACGAGGTCCTCAGAGGACCTCATGTGGAGGGACACAGTGAGGCGGAGAAGAGGGAGGAAAACAAACTAGAGTCGGGTAGGACTGGGGAAGAGCATGGGGGCGGGGCTGGAGTGGAGGATGCAGTGATGGTGGGGGTGGAGGGTGACATCAAGGATGAAGGAGGTCTGAGGATGAGTCGTGGGAACAGAAAAGCAACTGAGGGAGTGAATGGAGTACGGGAAGAAGCGGGGGCCCACAGGAGCCGGCACTAGGAAGGAGCTGAGGTCTGAGGCTGCGAACTGGAGAGCAGACAGGCAAGGCCTTAGATGACAGGAACAAGGAGCTGAAGTGAGGAAAACAAGCTGAGGTCTGAGGCTTTGGGGACCAGGATGACGCCAGGCATGGAGGTGGAAGATGCGACTGAAGTGATGGGCGCGGCTGGGTGAGGATCCGGGGATGGTGTGAGGTGAAGGATGGGGTCTGGAGCCAAGCCTGCAGCGAGTCTGAGGCTGGGCTGGGTAGGGAAAGGGAGCCACTAGGAGGTTCAGGTCACAGGATGGAGCGCACTCACATCAATGGAGCAGCCCAGCAGGGAGCCTCGCTCCAGCGCCTTGAGGATGATGCTGTAGAGGTCGCTGGGTGCCTTCCGCAGCTCGTACCATTCAGTGACCCCACCTGTGAAGTCCTCAAAGCCCTCGGAGGTGCTGCCTCCTGAAAGGGCCTCGTAGCTGCCATTCACCCTGTGGGAGGCCCCGGTCAGCACTCTGTACCAAGCGGGACCCCACACTCTGGGGGTGGCCTGGAGCTCTCGCTGGGCCCCTACTCACTTGGCATAGGCCTTCTCCAGCAGAGCACTCCAGAACTCGTTACCTTGGGCAGAGTGCACGAACACCAGCTTCCCGTCCTTGGTGGGCAGCAGGTCATCCACCACCACGTCCACCCACTCCCCAAACTGCCACAGCTGGGGGAAGAGAAGCATAGTGAGTACCTGCTTTGAGATCCCCGGGGCCCGAGCTTAAGCCTCAGCAGCTCGCCCACTTACTAGACACCTGATTCTAGGTCATACATCCTAGACACAGGATCTGAGCACCTTATCCTCTCTGAGCCTCACTTTCCCTCTCCACAAAAGGGAACAGCAATGCCTTCCTCATGGGAAAACTAAAGAAGATTAGGAAGGTAGTCTTTAGGGCAGCATTGTTGATATGTTTTGAAACAGACCAAGGGATGGAGAGGTTGCAAAGCCCTTGGGCCTTGGCTCTCCCGGAACCTTTTAAGGCCATGACCCCTGCCTTTCCCCCTCCCCATTCTAGGCCATGGGTGGGTGTGTGTGTGTGTGGGTGTGTGTGTGTGTAGGGGGGCTGCGGATACCTATGTAAATTAGGTGTGGAATAAAAATGTGTCATCCAGATCCTTCAACCACAAGGTGGACAGCAAACCGCAGGGTTTGCTTCATAGATGCCTTGAAGGCCAAGTTTCCCAGAGAGGTAGGAGTCGGCCCGTCGAGGCCAAAAGTGACTCAGTGCTACGGCATTGGCATTCGGGGCTGTGTGTGTGCGCCGAACAAGGGGGCGAGGGGAGGAGGTGGGCCCACCGCACTGTCTGTGAAGGAGTGAACGGGCCAATCAGAGGCCGGGGAGGAGCGGATTGGTGGAGTGAAGGGAGAGGGTGGGGAAAGGGCGGTGAGGCCACGCCCCGGTGGGCCAACGCTGGCAGGTGCCGCACTTGGCCACAGTAGTTGCCACCGCACGGTGGGTCCTGCAAGTCAAGCCTTAGGCGCCGAGGCGGGTGAGGACGAGGTAGGGCAAGGGGCTCCCTGGCTAGGCGGAAGGAGAGGACACTGGGGCCAGGGATTCTCATCCAGGCTTCCTGGGGGTGTGTCTCTCCCAAAACCAGCCTACTGAGAATTCATTAGTGTGATTTGAAAAATGGGCCCTGTGCGCAAACAACATCAGGAAACGCTGGTTTAAATAGGCTTAATCCCGAGTCTTTCTTTTCTGCAAGGCTCTCTAAGAGGCTGGCGATTGCCAAAGTGCAGGCGGAGCTGGGAGTGGGTGGGTGGGTGGACTGATGCCAAGGGTGTAGATGGCCACATGTGCTGGTCGGTTTTCCCGGCAGAACACTCTCTGTTTCTCAGATAGGGAAACTGAGACCCTGAGGAGGAAAAGGATTTGTCCCACAGGATATAACACAGAGATCTTTCTAATCTTCTAAGCACTTTTCTCCTCCGATGTGCACAAGCGTCCAGGAAAGCTGCCAGCCGAAATACCTGCCCAGTCGTTTCACACATGACAGATTCTCACACATGACGGATCGGAGATGGAATCAAGAGGTCACACACAATACTTTTGAGAGGGAGGGCTGGCCCTGCAAGGTGTGGCCCTGAGCCACCCTAACTTCAGTGTCCCCACCACCTGCAGTGCCTGCTACCCCTCTCTCCCTCACCCCCCTTGCCCAAGGTGCATGTGGGGCTCCTCACCTGGAAATGGAAGATGCCGACATAGCCATCCTGGAAGCTTTGGCCATGTGGAACTACTCGGTGCAGGAGGGTGTCATTGAGGGTAAGGGAGGCGATGGCCGCCAGGAGCCAACAGTCCCCTGGGATGGGAAAGAGCCACGTCAGGCCTGATCTACCAATCTGCGCCCAATGGTGCACACGAGTGCCATGCTGGGGAGAAACGGGTTCCCTGGGCAGGGCTCCCCTCAACTTACAGAAAAGACCCAGGAATCTGGGCAAACCAGCCCCAGCACTGATAGCCAGAGCCCGCTTGGGCTTGCAGAAGGGAGGGGCTGAGGCAGAGCAGGAAGGAACGGGTATAGGGAACTACTTTGGAAAAACACTCAAAACGCCCCAGGGCCTACCCAGTGCTCCCTGGCAGATGTCTGTGCGGGTGGCTCCATCCACGATGAACTGGGGGTTTGAGAACAGCTCCTGCAAGAGACCCAGAGTCCTGTCTCTGGGCCAGCCCCTCCTAGGGACCTGGAGTCCTCTTCCCACTCCTCACCCAGGAAGGGGGTAAACTGAATCCCACCCAGGGTGGCCCCTCTCACCGTGGGACGCTTCCACTTGATGCCATAGGTTTTGGAGGAGTTAGGGCCCAGGTCCTTGAAGCCCAGGCTCTGGGGCACTGGGGGGAAAGCCTCATCACGGAAGAGGGCCCCACTCTGCAGGCAGTGAACCCGCAGCTGATCATAATCCTGGCCCAGGTACTTGATGGCGTTTTCATGGCGGCCCAGGCCCAGCTCCTTGGCCCGCTGCTTTTGCACTTGTGCAGACACCCCGGTGCAGTACACCGGAGTGATGACCTCCTCAGTCATCCTGTGGGAGAGATGGGTCTGCTCCGAACCCAGGCCTTCCCAGGACTAGAGCTGGGACTCCTGTCTGCTAACACTGCTTTCCTTCCCCCCCAGACCTGGGGTTCCCCGCCCCCACTGCTCCTCTCACTGAATCAGGGCTGCCACCTCCCTTTGCTCCCAGAACCCTGGAGAGGGGGCTTCCCATCCCCCCAGGTATGGTGGCCACCATCTCCCTACCCCCACCCAGTGCTACCACCTCTCTTTTACCAGATGCCCATTGTCCTGGGTCTGCAGTCCTGTGGTCAGCTAGTCAGGTTGGGGAAGGGCGGAGCCCGAAATAGCACAAGGAACCAGGAAGGTGGGAGACCCCAGGGAAGGCCTCTGACCGTTTGCCTGCCTGTAACCCCCCTCCTCAAACTAGCCGAGCTCCCGTACACTGGCCCCTTTCCCTGGCTTGCGGGCTGAGTACTCCAGGCAGTCGTGGTCCCCCTCCCCAAGCTCCTGAGACAGGTTGAATGATCAGGGCTGCTGCGTCTCAGTCCTTCCCCCTCCGGCCCTCCCCCAGCCCGGCGCAGCCCGGCCCCTGGAGGCAGTGAGGAACGCAGGCTGGGGCGGGCGCCGGAGCTGTGCGGCTTCCCCAGCCCCTGCCCCAGTTCCAGGCACTCAGAGAGCCCGGGGTAGAGGCAGCCCCTCAGCCCGGGAGCAGTGGCCAGGCTTCGGGAACAGCGGCCCGGCCACCCACCTCCTTACCTGGGGGAGGAGTGTTCGGGGGGTCGCTGCGGTCGCTGCGGTCCCTGCGGCTGGCTTCCCCGGTGGCAGCTGAGGACAGGGCCCAACCAGGAAGAGCGCTCCTCCCCGCCCTCCTCCCGCGGCCCCTCCGCCCTCCTCCCTCCCTCCCTCCTTCTGCCCCTTCTCTTCCTCCTCCTCGGGCTCCAGCCCCGCTGCCTCTCTGCCCTCCCTTATCTCTCGGGCACCTCCTCAGACTGTCTCTCTAACTCACGGTGTCTCCCCGCCCCTCCCTCCGCAGACGCCGGGCCAACTGCGCGAGAGGACAAATTAGTAAAAGGCAGAGTTGTCCCCGGGGAGGGGCCAGCGCCAGTCGGGGTGGGGAGGGCTGGGGCCCGGACGGAAGGGCACCGCGGGGGATGGGGAGGGAGAGGACAGGACAGGGGGTATTTTTAACCAGGGGCAACAGCTCTAGTTGCAGGGCCCGGCTGCCCCACCCCACGCGGCGCCCCCAGAGGGCATTCTCGGGAGTCCGGCCCGGCGGCGCCGCCTCCCGCAGCCCCGGGTCCGTCCCCCCTGCGCCCCTCCTCCGCGGGGCCGCAGCTGTCCCTCCGCCCCCGGCCCCGCGCGCCCTAAGCGCGGGGCCGAGATTACCTCGGGCTGAGGCAGCTGCTCGGAGGAGGGGCCGGGCTGGCGGGCGAAACGACCCCTGCAGGACGCTCTGCAAACGGCAGCCCCACCCTGCCGGGTCCTAGCCGCAGACCGGCTCCTGGGCAGGGCCGACTTTCCCCCCACGCCACCCCCGCGCCCTGGGGCGCAGGCTCCGGGCGCCGGGCGGGGCTCGAGGAACCGGTCCCCCACGCCCGGGCTGGCTGCGTGACCTTGGGTAAGTCCCTGCCCCTCTCGGCCTTAGTTTCCCCATTTGCGCAGCGACTGTGATGAAATGAGGAACTGTGGAAGCCCATCTTTCTCTTACTCTCTGAGGTTTCTTGAACCTGGAAGTTGCGAGGCCGGCATCCCTGCCCTGTCCTCCAAGCCCTCCCTCTCCCATCCACCTGGGAATGCCCGTGTGCCGCTTTACCCAGGAGGCGGCGGGAGAGACTGCGAGCAGGACAGTAGGCCCACCCGGGACCCGGAGAGACCCCACCTCCCGAGATGCAGAAGGTGGAGAGCCGAGAAGCAGGAGGGAGCGAGACGGCAGCGGTCCGGTGCCCCAGCTCAGGGCTTTTGATTGACCTTGGGGGCCCCGACCCAGCAGGTCGAAGCTCTTATATGATGTACACACAAGCATTTTGTTGGGGAAACGGTGCATAGCCTTCCTAGGATCTGAGGGCGCATGACCCCAAGAAGGTTAAGAGCCACTGATCTAATCTGACTCCATTCTCACTCCTAGTTTACAGATGAGGAAAACTGAGGCCTAAGAGAGTGCGGCTTGCTCAGCTCCTTCAACTGGTGAGTCAGGGCTAGAACCAGCTTCTGAGCTCTTTCCTCTTCACCACTGGGCATTAATGTGTCCAATCTTGACTAAACCGCCGACAGGTCTTTGCCTAACAGAGACCCATGACTAAGGCAGACCAGCACGTGCTAGAGGAGGCTGCTCTCCTGGTTCAGCTTTGGGGATTAAGGAAGGTGAATCCTATTGGAAAAGTCGGAATTAACCAGGCAGTGAGGTGCTGGATAGGGTGTTCTTAGCTGAAAGAACTGCGTGTGCAAGGGTCCAGAGGCTGGGGGAACAGGCCAGTAAGGGGAATTGCAAGTGTTCCTTGTGACTGGATCACAGAGAGCAGGGGCCTGGGAGAGGAAAGATGCTCTGGAGAGGTAGCAGAGACCACCCCTCCCCTCAAAGCCCTCTGGCTCAACCTATGTGTCCCACAGTCCTCAGAATTACTTCCACCAAACTGTCACTCCTGCTGACTGCGTTTGACTGTTCATGGGCACTGACCACCTCCTGTATGTGCAAGGCACTGTGCTCACCTGGGCATAAGGTGGTGAAGCCCTATGGCCTTGGCTCCCTCTGAAGGAAGCAGACATTGCCTCAACTTTTAGACTCACGATTGGTTGAGAAGAAGAATGGTGTGAAGGAAGCCCATAAGTGAAGCCTTAGCTAATCTAGGTGTTAGAAGAGGCATAAATCAGACAAAGGGCGTTATGGCAGGGGTGGGGGAGATGCCAGTGAGGGGAATTAATTGCCTTGGCATATGGAGGAACTGAAATATTCTTAGTGTTGCTTGAGCACAGAGAGAGAAAGGGAGAGAAGAGTTGTGGCAGGTCTGGGTCGGCCATGGAAGATGGGTTTTGTTCTACATAGAAGGCTGCTCAGATTTGTACAAATGAAGGAGAAGGATGCCTGGGAGTGGGTGGATCAAACTAGGGAGGTGGTAGACACAAGTGGGAAATAGATGGATTTGATAACTATTTAGGATACACCATATCAAAATGTAACTCTAACTGGATTATACACCTAAATATATACTCTAGGACTATAAAACCTCTAGAAGAAAGCATAGGAAAAATCTTAGCAATCTTGGGCTTGGCAAAGATGTCTTAAATATGACACAAAAAACTGAAACAATAAAAGAAAACATTAAGTTGAACTTTATCAAAATAAAACACTTTGTTTTCAAAAGGCACTATTATGAAAATGAAGAGACAAGCCACAGACTAGGAAATAATTGCAAATATATATATGTGTATCTGATGAAGGACTTGTATTTAGAATATATAAAGAACTTTTACAACTTAAAAAAATAATCCAATAAAAATGGTTGAAAGATATGAATAGACATTTCCGAAGAAGATATTGGATGGCAAATAAGCACATGAAAAAATGTTCACTCACTGGTAAAGTGCAAATTAAATCAACTAGAAGGACCACCATTGCAAACCTGGAATGGCTATAATTAAAAAGACCGACCATGCCAAGTGTTGGCAAGGATGTGGAGGAGTTGGAACTCTCATACGCTGCTGGTGGGAATTCAGAATACCACCACTTTGTTAAACAGTTTGGTAGTTTCTTTAAAAGTTAAACATATATTCAGCAATAAACAGAGATAACCTAGCAAGCTACAGAAAGATGCCAGAAGCTTAAATGCATATTGCTAAGTAAAAGAAGCCAGTATAGGGGCTTCCCTGGTTGCACAGTGGTTAAGAATCCACCTGCCAATGCAGGGGACACGGGTTCAAGCCGTGGTCCGGGAAGATCCCACATGCCGCGGAGCAGTTAAGCCCGTGTGCCACAACAACTGAGCCTGCGCTCTAGAGCCCGCGAGCCACAACTACTGAGCCCACGTGCCACAACTACTGAAACCCGTGCACCTAGAGACCGTGCTCTGCAACGAGAGAAGCCACCGCAATGAGAAGCCCGCACACCACAACGAAGAGTAGTCCCCGCTCGCCACAACCAGAGAAAAGCCCACGCGCAGCAACAAAGACCCAAGGCAGCCAAAATAATTAAATAATTAATTAATTAAATTTATTTTTTTAAAAAAGAAGCCAGTATAAGAAAACTATATAGTGTATGATTCCAACTATATGACATTCTGGAAAAGGTAAAACTAAAGACAGTAAAGAGATCAGTGATGGCCAAGATTTCAGGGAAGGTGGGGGAAGGGAGCACAGGGCATTTGTAGGGCAGTGAAACTCTTCTGTGTGATACTGTAGTGGTGGATACATAACATTATGCAAAACCCATAGAATGTACAACACTAAGAGTGAACCCTAAAGTAAACTATGGACTTTAATAACAATGTATCAATATTGGTTCATCAGTTGTAACAAATATACCACACTAATGCAAAATGTTAATAGGAGAAACTGTGCGCAGGTGGGAAAAGGGATATGGGAATTCTCTACCCTTTCTGAGCAGTTTTTCTGTAAACTTAAAACTGCTCTAAAAAAATAGTCTATCTTAAAAAAAGAAAAATAAAGTTAAGTACACACCTACGACACGACCCAGCCATTCCACTCCTAGGCATTTACCCAAGGGAAATAAAAGCGTGTGTCCACACAGACTTGTGTGTGAATATTCATAGCAGTTTTAATTGTAACAGCCAAAACTCGACACAACCAAATGTTCATCAACAAATTGTGAACGGATAAGCAAATTGTGGTGCGTATATATACGATAGAATACTACCCAGTAATGAAAAGGAACAACAATGGATGAATCTCAGAATAATTATACTGAGTGTAAGAAACCAGACCAAAGTACATTCTTCTATATAATTCCATTTCTATGAGAATTCGAGGAAAAGGATGGCCATTTAGTGACAGAAAGCTGGTCAGTGGTGCCTGGAGGGGCCGGCAGGTGGGAAAGGGCGGGAGGGAGAGATTACAAAGGGGCTTGAGGAAACTTTTTGGGGTGATGGATACGTTCATTACCTTGATTGTGATAATGGTTTCATGGGGGTATACATGTCAAAACAAAAATGTACCTTTTAAGTATACATAGTTTATTGTATGTCAACTATACCTCAATAAAGCTGTTGAAAACACCTGTAGAACTTAGCCACTGATTGGATATGGCTCTTGGGAGATAGGGAGGAATCTGGGTGGATTAATGGTGTGGGGGACACTAATCTGGAGGGGATACTGGAGGATCAGGTTTGGGGGGTACCTTTGGGACCCACCCCCATCCAAGGGGAGATGCCTGGGGGTGGGACTAGCCCTCAGAATAGAGGTACAGATTTGGGAGTCACTGGCCATCGGTGCCACCTGAAAGAAGTATGTAGAGGCAGGGGACAGACACTTCGTTCTGAACAAAAAGATGCTTCATAAAGATGTCTGTTCTTAAAGTAATCTATAGATTTATCGAAATTAACAATTCTAGGCACTTCCCTGGCCATCCAGTGGTTAAGACTCTGCGCTCCCAGTGCAGGGAGTGCAGGTTCCATCCCTGGTCGGGGAACTAAGATCCCGCGTGCCGCGTGGTGTGGCCCAAAAAATTAAAAATTCTAACAGATTTTTAAAAATTCTAACAGATTGTTTGAGGGGAAGAGGGACTAGAAAAGCTGATTTAAACTTCATATGGAAAATTGAACAAGCAAGAATAGCCAAGAGGGACTTCCCTGGTGGCACAGTGGTTAAGAATCCACCTGCCCATACAGGGGACATGGGTTCGAGCCCTGATCCGGGAAGATCCCACATGCCGCAGAGCAACTGGGCCCGTGTGCCACAACTACTGAGCCTGCACTCTAGAGCCTGCAAGCCACAACTACTAAAGGCCATGAGCCTAGAGCCCGTGCTCCGCAACAAGAGAAGCCACCACAATGAGAAGCCCGCACACCGCAACTAGGGAAAGCCCGTGCACAGCAATGAAGACCCAATGCAACCAAAAATAAATAAATTAAAAAAAAAAAAAAGAGAATAGCTAAGAGACTCCTGAAGACAGGAGACTAACCCTACCAGATATTAAATCCAATCTATAATAATTAGATGTAATGAAGAGAGGTACTGATGCACAAAGATCAATGAAAGGTAGAAAAACCTAGAAATAGATCCAAATGCATATAGAAATTTAGTATAAGAGCAGCAATTCAAATCTGCTGAGAAAAGATGAGTTTTTCACTAAAAGGCATTAGGAAAATGGGCAGGAATTTTGTATATGATAAATTCCAGATGAACTCATGATTTAAATGTAAAAAATGAAAACAAAAATACAGCCAGCAGCTAAGGGAGACAGTCTTTTAATCATCTCAGTGTGGAAAAGGTCTTTTCAACTATGACACAAAACCCAGCAGCCACAAAAGTTTATTTTACTACACTAAAAAATCCGCATAGCAAAGTTAAAATGATAAACCAAAGAAAAGACTTCCAATTTACATCCTGAAAGGCTACTTTTCCTTATATGTGAGTCAGGTACCAAAAACAGTGGCAAAATGGGCAAAGACAAGGACAGTTCACAAAAAAGTAGACAAAGAGCTCTTAAACATATGAAACAATGCTTGAGCTCACTCAAAAGAAAAATACAAATTAAACCTTCACCAAGACACCATTTTCTACTTAGCAGTTTGGCAAACATAAAACAATCTGGTACCTCACTGATTGGTGAGTGTTCTGGAAAACAGCCTTCACATGCTCTGCTAGAGGTTGGGGGGGAAGGGCAGTACAGGCATAGCCCCAACAGAGGGACATTTGGCAAAGTCCTTCAATTTTGACTTGACCTTTGGCTGAACAATTCTTCTAGGAATTCACTCTACAGATACCTTTTCACATTTGAATAATGCTGTTCTTACAAAGTCTTAGTGACTCTCTATAGCACTGTCTGGAATAGCAGAAGTGTGGAAACAAATGCCAATCAATAGGAAAAAAGATACATTATAGTACATCCACACAGAGGAATACTACACAGCTGTCGAAAGGAATGTGCAGACAAGGAACCATCTTTAAAATACGTTGGTAAGTACACAGTAGAATGTATGGAATTCTCCCACTGGAGTGTTTTAAAAATGGGGGTGGGACATATATGCATATTTGGTGTGGTATCTTTTTTCTGACACCACGTCTCACACCAAATAGCTTTTTTCCCCGGATACCAAATACATGCGATGGGTCCACACCAACTCTCCAACGCCATCTAGGTGCCTACAATTCAATTCGGACACCAGTTGCCAGAGTTAGCGCAGACCCTGTGGGTTAAGGGCTCAGTTCCACAAGATGCCGGCCACAGATGGAGTGCCCAGGCGACCCACGCTCCTGTGTGGCCGACTACAAATTTGGGGATCCCACAACACCCCTCCTCAGGCCTGATAATTCAGTAGAACGCTCTCAGCACTTAGGAAGGTGCTTTACCTACTGTTAACAGTTTCTTATAAAGGATACTCAGGAGCAACCAAATAGAAGAGATTCATAAGGCAAGATGTGGGGGGGGGGGGCAGGCGGAGCCACCCTCCCCCCAAACTCCAAATCTCCAGTGCCCTCCCCCTCCTGGAGGAAGTAGGGAAGCTGAAAGTTCCCACCCTCTAGATCAGTTTTCCCCCATCCTGAGTCACCTCATTAGCATAAACTCAGGTATGATCCAAAGGAGCTCATTATGAATAACAAAAGACACTCCTGTAACTCTGGAAATTCCAAGGGTTTTAGGAGCTCTGTGCCAGGAACCAAGGACAAAGACCAAATATGTATATTTTTATTATACCACATTTGGTTATATACATTCAGATTCTTTCTCTGGCAGGACATGAATTATTACTTTCATTGCTTCCCGGAAGGGGAACCAGATGGCTGGGAGTCAGGGGCAGAAGGTGACACTTGGTGCAAAATTCAAAACATACATGTGAATATATTACCTATTTGAAAAACTCTTACAAATACTTTACAGTCCTCGTCATGGCTTCTAACAGTCGCAGTCTCCAGGCTTTACCTCCTTACTTCTTGGGAGCCACTCATAGAGAGGCAGGGGAATCACGTCCAGATTCCTCTGCCACCTGACCCTTTAGACTTCTCTGTCTTGTGTTCCGGCCGCTCCCCAAACGTACGTTCCCCTCTAGCCTTTCTCTGGGCAGCAGTTCCCTCTACTAGTAACACCCACATTTGAGCTCTACTCTTGAAACCTAGTTCTAAACCCTTCTAGGATTAACTCATTCAAATCTCAACCGACACCCTTTTTAGTGTAATACCCATTTTACAGATGAGGCAGTAGAGGAGATTAAATAACAGGCTAAAGTCACACATAAACCTGGACTTTGAACTTAAGCTGTCTGGCACCAGAGACCAAGTCTTAATCACTACTCTGGACTGTCTTTCCAAGAACACTGTTCCTCACCACCAGCACCCCAACACCACCACCCGAGCACGGGCAAACCTGACATTGTTCAAGGCCCCGTTGAAATGCCAGCTCCTCGGGTGAGTCTTCCCTGCTCCCCAATTAACAAACTTACTTTGGGGAAGGGAGAGGGGGTCTTGTATTATAATAATTACATTATATTCAATTGCCGCCCAGAGCAAGGACCAAGGCTCATTCCTAAATAGACCTGACCCTGCAGGCATTTCTAGACTGACAATGGAGCCGTTTTCCTTCTGAGCATTTTTTTGTCCAGGAGGTTCCAGACCCTCTTCTAAGGACTGCAGATACCTCATCTCATTTAGTCCCATCTGCACTGTGTGGATCTCACCATCCACATGGATGTTAAAAAGGGGAAACAGGCTCAGGATGACTGGTCACGAATGGGAGGAGAGGAGCTATTACAGGACCTGTGCTCATGGGTCTCCAACCACTGGTACCTAAACGTGGCAGATGCCCCTCTCCCGGTAGCTCCCTCCCTGCCCCCACCCTGGGTCAGGGACCCAGACTAGGGCCTAAGCACAGTTGGTGTCCTGTGGACATGAATTTATTTGAGGAGTCAGGTCAGAGTGCGTACAAGTTGCAGGTTGGGAGGAAGGGGCAGGGGGCATGGGCAGCCCTGCTAGCCTGAGGCCAAGTAGACAGGAGGCCGGAGGGGCCCCAGCCAGTAGAGCACTGGGTCAGCAGGGAGCAGACGGGCTGTTCTTCACCCTGCGAGTGTCAGCGCCGAGGGCACGGCAGCAGCTTTGAGAAGACTGCGGGAGGAAGGATGGAGAGAGGCTCAGAGGAAGCTCGCCAAGCCCAGGCGGCTGGGAGGTGGCAGGGCTGGACACATGCCCAGGTGTGCTGGACCCCAGGCCCCTCCTTCCCATTCTGCTGGCCCCGCACCTGCCCCCCAGCCCCTCTCAGCTCCCCCTACTGTACCCTACTCACTGTGGAGGGTGTAGGTGCCTGGCTCCAGTTGCAGCTCGGTGGGCAGGACAATGAGGAAGGCCCCACTCCAGGAGTCTCCAGCCACTGAGAGACAAGCTTGGGAGGGAGGGCGGTGCCGCTCAGGGTTTTGGGAAGGGCACTTGGATATGACAGGCAAGGGGCAGGGCTGGTGGCAGCGGTGGCTGTGGCAAGGGGGCAAGCCACACAGGGGACAGTGGGGTGGCGAGAGGCCGGGGCCCCGGGGGAGGGGGATCTGGGCCTTTGGGTAGCTCCTCTGAGCCCTGCCGTGGTGGGGATGCCTCTCCCGAGTCCAGGCCCAGTGGGTCGGCTCCTTGGCCATGACCTGGCATGAGAAGAGTGGATGGTAAATGGGAGGTGGGAGGTCCAGCCTCTTTTCCCCACCCCAGGGTGCTGGCGGGACCTCACCTCCTCGCAGCTCTGGCGTCTCACCACGGCCCTGAAGCCCATCCGTGCCCACAGCTTGTCCCTCTGACACAGGAAGTCTGACACTCGATGATGCCAATCTTGGCCCAGGGCCCACAGAAAAATCACGCTTTTGGGGTCCTCCAGGTCTTCCTCCATGTCATTTGCAAGGTACCTGGCCACAGAGGCAGGGGGCAGGGAACAGAGGCTGTAAGCATCTGCCCTGCCCCACCCTGCCACTCCGAGTCAGGGTCCCCATCACGCGCCCAGGCCACTCACAGTGCCAGGAACAGATTGCTGTGGGTGTACTCGCTGAGCTGCAGGTTGGCGCGCCGGAAGTAGACCAGCACCATGGCCAGGAGATACTGCAGACACAGAAATGGGGAGAGTTAGAGTGAGGCACTGGGTGGGGAGGGGCTGCGCCAGCCCCTTCTGCACCCAAGGAAGTTCTGGTGGGGCTAAAAACTCTGGGGTAAAATGGTGGGGAGGGGCCTGCAAAGAGAAGGGTTAGAAGGGAGGCGCTCCCTCCACCAGACCAGAGGACCCAACGAATTAGCAGCACCGGAGCCCCACTAATTCAATCTTCCCCAAGCGAGGCTGGCCTCTGCCCCCACTGTGCCCTCTCACCTTATCTGAAATCTGGAAACAGGGATCTTTGGAGAGGAAATCCTGGAGGAAACTGTGCTCTGGGGGTAGAGAGGAGAAACGGTGGACTGGGGTTACCACCCCAACACACACAAGGTAAGAGGGGCAGTAGCCGTTCCAAAGCCCAAGCCTCCCCTGAACCCACTTTCTGACATGACACTCCCCACCTGCCAAACTGGGGCCACCTGAGGAGAGCAGGGACAGAGGCTGCAAGCTGAGATCCCACCTCCCACACCTGTTCACGCTTGGTCCCCACGGCCCCTGCCGTGCCAGCCCCCAAGTGGACTCACCCAGAAGGCTGAGGAAGGCCTGGAGCTCCTCATGCCGGCGGAAATGGAAAGACTCACCCCCCTCCCCTTGACGGCTCCAGCCCCTCAGCTTCACCTGGGTGCCAACCGCAGGGATTGTGGCAGGATCTTGGGCATCACTCATCTCTTGGGGGGTGGGGGTGGGTGAGGGGGGGTGGGACGGGGTGACCTGTAAAGGAAGCAGCCCCAGGACTTAACACTTACCCCACTGCCCCCCAGAAGTCAAGGGGATCAGCGTGCTGGCCTGACAGATGACCTCCAGGAAGTAGAGGCATGGGAAATGGAGAAATGGGGGCTCAGAACAGAAGGAAACTGAGATGTGGCGCAGCGGGTGGGGGGAGGGGGCGGGGATGGGGGCAGAAAAGCAGCAGAGCTCCTGGAGGCTACAGCACCCTCCCCCCTCCTCCTGGCACCCCAGACCTGGCCAGAGAGGAAGAACAGCAGCAACAAACACCTCTGAGGGCTTCCTAAGTGCCTGGAGCTGTGTTAAATACTTTAAGGACATTATCTTATTTCATCCTGGTAAGTAGACCCATTTTGCAAACACGGAAACTGAAGCATGGAGGTCTCACGGCCACTTCAAGGTGGAGCCTGTCTGACCCCAAAGCCAGAGTTTAACGGCTCCTCTTGTCTCCCACCTCACAACAACCCCCTCACCCTTCACCAAAGCGGCAGCCCTGAAAGAACCAGCAACCCTTTACCGCCCAGAAGGAAAACTGAGGCCCAGAGAGAGGAAGGTTATTGGACAAATACTGGGGTTTAGGGCAAGTTGAGGTGGGGCCACATCAAACATTTTTAGCTACGAAGAGAGAGACTCCAACTATGGGGCTTAGGGGAGGGACCCCTCCACCACCCCTCGGTCAACCTAGGGGCCTCCATCTTGCTTCCCACAAGCAGCCCAGCCTCTTCCCTCCAGAAGCATTACCTGAGCTCAGGAGTTAACCTACAGCGTAACTCCAAGCCCAGCCAGCGCATTTATATAGCCCCAGGGCTGCCCCGCCCCCGCAGCCCTCCACCAATCAGGCCCCTTCCTGGGAAAGGGTGGGGCTTCTCGCCATCACCACCCACCTCTACTTGGAGAAAATCCAGTCAGTTTCCACCACTCGTCTCCCAGCTGCGTCTCCCCAAGATAAAAGCTCCTCCAAAGTCTCATCACCTACAAGAGGGTTGATCTCATCACCTACAAGAGGGGTGAAGGCAGGCTAGCTGGACGCCACAGCCTGAAAGGCAGCAGGAGCCCCTCTCGGCTCTTTACAGATGCAGAGCCAAGGCGCGGGGCGGGAATGCTACCGACCTGGGCTGAGGCGAGCGGCTGATGAGTAAGATGTGATTCAGGGATTGGGCCTTGCTGGGGAAGGGTCGCTGGATGTGTCTGTGTTTGTTTCAGATCCAGGAATCCCCAAACCTGGGAGCCAGAGAGGAGATGGTCTTGGCGTGAGAGTTCCCAGGGGCCACATCCTCCTCCCAAGGTCTTTTAGGGGTATGGGGAGCCCGGCCAGCAGCTCCAAGGTGGGGGAGGAAGGCTTTGCCCAGGACCACCTAGCTCATCCTCTCCACACCGCCACCCCCCGCCCCCGCCACACACACAGCAGACCTTAAGCCTTTCCATCTTCACTGGCTCAGTTATGCTTTACAGCCAGTTGTATTGCACAGTCAGAACCTGCATTACTTTCCACATGGGACAGGTGACATTTTTTCCCTATTTTTTTTTTTACTGGGATAAAATACACATTACATAAATTTAACAATATTTACTGCCTTAACTTTTTAAGAATAAATTTATTTATTTATTTTTGGCTGTGTTGGGTCTTTGTTGCTGTGCACGGGCTTTCTCTAGTTGCCGAGAACGGGGGCTACTCATTAAGGTGGCTTCTCTTGTCGCAGAGCACGGGCTCCACGAGCACGGACTCAGTACTTGTGGCGCTCAGGCTTAGTTGCTCCGCGGCATGTGGAATCTTCCCAGACCAGGGTTCAAACCCGTATCCCCGGCATTGGAAGGCAGATTCTTAACAACTGTGCCACCAGGGAAGTCCCTGCCTTAACATTTTTAAGTTCACACTTTTAAGTACTCAATAAATGCCACCCCATTTCAAAACCTTCAACTGAGGACTTGGGGGCTAAGAAGGAAGGAGAATATATAAAACTCAAAGTCATCAGACAGGATGGCAGTGAGATTCACTTCAAAGTGAAAATGACAACACATCTCCAGAAACTCAAAGAATCATAATGTCAAGGACAGGGAGTTCCCATGAATTCACTCAGGTTTCTCTTCAAAGGTCAGAGAATTGCTGATAATCACACTCCAAAAGAACTGGGAATGGAGAGAGCAGATGTGATTGGAGTTTATCGGGAACAAACGGGTGCATTCAACGGTTTTGATATTCTTATTTTTTGTTCTTTTCCCTTAATCCTTTTTTATTTTTTTTATTTTTTTACATCTTTATTGGAGTATAATTGCTTTACAATTGTGTGTTAGTTTCTGCTTTATAACAAAGTGAATCAGTTATACATATACATATAATCCTTTTTTATTTTTAAAAATAGTTCCTTGTAACGTGGTGTTCAAACCAGAATTGAAAACTGGCACCCCATCTCTTTAAAACATCTGGTAATTTGAATTCTAGTGCCCACCAGGGAAGTCCCTCATCCTTTCATTTTCTTAACATTGTTTTCACAGAGCAAGTCTTTCATCTTGATGATGTGCAATTATCAATTTTTTTTTTTTTTGGTATGGATTGTGGGAGGGGTTTCAAAGGCAGGATTCTCCCATCCCCCAAGACCTCAAGAAGCCCCAGAGAGTAGACAAAACCCAAGAGAAGAGGCAGCCAAAGGCAGGCCACTGTAGAAGAAGGAGCCAGAGGCCTGGGGCTTCCAAGCTGCCCTGGTCAGATGTGTAGGAGGCCACGCTAGGGCAGAGAGGCCTGTGGGTGGGGAGGTGGGCAGGGCATGGGAGTTGTAGATGAGGGGGATGAGCCCTGAGTGGGTGTGGCCAGAGGACTGCCATAGATCACAGATCCAGGAGGCAGAGGGCAGCCACCCTTTCAAGCCTGGTTCTGGCGCCCCTTGCCTCTGCACACCCTCCCTGATTTGCTCCCTGAATTGCCTCGTCTATTCCACTGGCATTGAATCCCTCCAGGGGTTCCAAAGTTTCTCGCAGCCCTAATGCTCCTCCAAGTCCACACCTGTACCTCCAGGTGCCTCTTGGACATCTCCACTTGTTTTCTCCAGGTACCTCATTATCTGTCCCCACGCACCTGTTCCTTCCTCAGTTTCCCCATCTACTTACCAATAGTTGATCAAAAAATTTAAAACAAACAAACAAACCTGAGAGTCATTGTCTTTAAGTAAACTTTTTATTACAGCACAGCAGCCAGACAGTAAAGTGCACAGATCAGAAATAACTAACTGGGGACTTCCCTGGTGGTCCAGTGGTAAAGAATCTGCCTTACAATGCAGGGGACACAAGTTCAATCCCTGGTCAGGGAACTAAGATCCCACATGCTGAGGGGCAACTAAGCCCGAGCGCCACAACTACTGAGCTCGCACGCCTCAACTAGAGAACCTGTGTGCTGCAAACTACAGAGCCCACGTGCTCTGGAACCTGCGCGCCACAACTATAGAGCCCAGGCGCCCTGGAGCCTGCGCGGGCCACAACAAGAGAGAAACCTGCACGCTGCAACGAAGAGCCCGCACACCGCAAGTAAGACTCAATGCAGCCAAAAATAAAATAAAATTAAATAAATAAATAATAAATAAATCTTAAAAAAAAAAAAAAAACTAACTAACTGGCTTGGGAATTCCCTGGTGGTCCAGTGATTAAGACTCTGTGCTTTCACTGCCGAGGGCCCAGGTTCGATCCTTGGTCGGGGAACTAAGATCCCACAAACTGCATGGCACGGCCAAAAGAAAGAAAGAACTGGCTTGATGAATTTTCAGAACACTCCCGTGGAGCCAGCACCAGATGAAGAAACAGCACATCACAGCAGCCCCTCATGCCCCCTCCTAGGCTCCAGTCCTCCCCACACCGCCAAGGTTAATCACCATTCTGGCCTCTATCATCATAGTTAGTTTTGCCTGTTTTTTTTTTGTTTGTTTCTTTTGGCTGTGTTAGGTCTTTGTTGCTGCATGCGGGCTTTCTCTAGTTGAGGAGAGCGTGGGCTACTCTTAGTTGCAGTGTGCGGGCTTCTCATTGCGGTGGCTTCCCTTGTTGTGGAGCACGGGCTTTAGGCGCACAGGTTTCAGTTTTGCAGCACGTGGCCTCAGTAATTGTGGCTCACGGGCTCAGTAGTTGTGGCTCGCGGGCTCAGTAGTTGTAGCTCGCGGGCTTAGTTGCTCTGCGGCATGTGGGATCTTCCCGGACCAGGGCTCGAACCCGTGTCCCCTGCATTGGCAGGTGGAGTCTTAACCACTGCACCACCAGGGAAGCCCTCAATTTCTTTTTAAAAAAGGAGACTCTTGTTAAACAACATTTTCTCTAATTCCTCTAACAAAAAAAAACTTGTTTTTGAAAGCCACTGAGATTTTGGAGTTGGGTATTATTGTATTGGATTTCTATTTGCTGCTGTAACAAATTACCACAAACTCAGTGGCTTAAAATAATACAAATCTATTATCTTATAGTTCTGGAGGCCAGAAGTCCAAAGTGGGTCTCACTCTGCTAAAATCAAGGTGTCAGCAATGTATAATTCCTTCCAGTGGCCACCACATTCCTTGGCTTGTGGCCTCCTTCCTCCATTTTCAAAGACAGCAGAATAGCATCTTCTGACCCTGACTCCTTTCCCACTTTTAAGGACCCTTGTGATTACATTGAACCCACCTGGATAATCCAGGATAATCTCGCCATCTCAAGGTCCTTAATCATATCTGTGAAGTCCCTTTTGCCGTGCAAGATAATACGTTCATGGGTTCCAGGAACTGGGATGTGCACATATTTGGGAGATCATTATTCTGCCTACTACATTTATCACAACATAATTTCTACTGAGCTAACTAATATACTATTTGTAAAATAATTGCTCTACGAGTTAGAGGCATGTGTCCATTTACTGCGTTTTGCGTTATTGCACTTCACAGATATTGCATTTTTTACAAATCGAAGGTTTGTGACAACTGTCAACACAAATAATGAATAAACAATCTATAATAGGAACAGAAGAGTTGTTTTGTTTTGTTGTTGTTTGTTTTTTTCTTGGCTGCATCGCACGGCTTGCAGGATCTTAGTTGTGGGATCTTAGTTGCCCCTGGCAGTGGAAGCGTGGAGTCCTAACCATTGGACCACCAGGGAATACCCTAGAAAAGAGTTTTATTTGAGCCAAACTGAGGGCTAGAGCCCGGAAGCCAGCTCTCCAGATTACTCTGAGCAACTGCTCCAGAGAAGCATGATTTTCAGCATGGTTTTATATCTTGCCAGAACAAAGAACATTAAACAAATCAGGAATACATTTCTTCACGGTTTCAAAAAAAAAAAAACAAAAACAAAAACAGACCAGCAAGTATACAGCAAGTCAGTATGGCCTTAGCATCTGGGAACCGGTCTTATCATCAAAGGAGGATCAGCATCGACATCCCAGGAAGAGAGGCATTTAATCATTATTTTAAACATTATTTTAAACATTCTTTACTTCTGGTCAATGTGTCTTTTTATTTAATAATTAAAGCAGATGTACAATGTATGTTTGATAGGCCACAAACAGGCTGTTTTTGTTAGCATAAAATTCAAGTTAACTCATGTATAAGCCAGAATGACTTCCCCACACCTCAATATGTGAACGTTTCTTTTATCACAACCATGTGTCGAGCTAGTCTATCAGTGTAATTTTTTCAACAGCATTCACTCACTTCGTGTCTTTGTGTCACATTTTGGTAATTCTTGCAAAACTTCAAACTGTTTCATTATTATTGTATTTGTTATGGTGATCTGTGATCAGTGACTCTTTGGCTCCGTTGGGTCTTCCTTGCTGCGTGTGGGTTTTCTCCAGTTGCAGCAAGCAGGGGCTACTCCTCGTTGTGGTGCACAGACTTCTCACTGCGGTGGCCTCTCTTGTTGCGGAGCACAGGATCTAGGCGCACGGGCTTCAGTAGTTGTGGCACACAGGCTCAGTAGTTGTGGCGCACGGGCTTAGCTGCTCCGCGGCATGTGGGATCTTCCCGGACCAGGGCTCAAACCCGTGTCCCCTGCATTGGTAGGTAGATTCTTAACCACTGCGCCACCAGGAGAGTCCCTGTGATCAGTGATTGGTGTTGCTATTTCAAAAGGACTATGACTCCCTGAAGGCTCAGATGATGGTTACCATTTTTTAGCAATAAAGTATTTTTAAATTAAGGGTATGTACCTTTTTTTAGACATAATGCTATTGTACACTTAATAGACAATAGTAGAGTGTAACATAACTTCTATATGCACTGAAAAACCAAAAAATCTGTGACTTGTTTTATTGTAATATTCACTTTACTGCAGTAGTCTGGAACCAAACACACGCTATCTCTGAGGTATGCCTGTATTTATAAAAGATACATATAAATATAAGGATATAAAACGTTTGGAAACAGAAGGATGGAAAAAATATCAGGCAAATGCTTACTAAAAGCTGGAATAGCTATACAGTATTAGTATCAGAAAAAAATAAATTTCAGGTTAAAAGCATTACTAGGGAGAAAGAGCATGCTTACTTAGTGATTTTTAAAATACACAGCAATTTTAAATTTATTTATTCTTAAAAGTAAGATTAATAAGCAATAAAGATTTATATAGAGAGAATAAAGCCACAAGGAAAAGCAGATTAAATCACAATCGTATTTGTAGATTCTATGGCACATGCAGGCAAAAAAAAAGAAAAAATTAGCAAGGGTATAAAAGATATGAAGAATATGGTTAACAAATCTGACCTAGTGGACCATTGCACCTAAATGCAGAACAGTGTATGCAGAACATTTCCCAATAAATCGATCAAATTCTAGATCATCAGGCAACTGAACTAATTTCAAAGAGTTAAAATCATTCAGTCTGTCGTTTGTTCGTTTTTTACCACAATATAATTAAGTTAAACATCGTCAACAGACAGATTAAAAAAAAATCCTACCTATTTTGAAATTAAGAAACATTTTATGAGATGTCTGGGCCAAGAGAAAAAAAACCACAACAGAAATTAGAAAATAGATTATAAATTTGTGTTGTTTTAGATTACAGTCGTAATGAAAATATCGTATATCCATGTTGGAGGACCCAGCTAAAAATTCTTAGAGAGAAATTTATGACCTCAACTGTATATATTGGAAAATAAGAAAGGGTCCAAACAAATGAGCTAAACTCCGTCTTTAAAAGTTACAAAGGAGGGGGACTTCCCTGGTTGCGCAGTGGTTAAGAATCCACCTGCCAATGCAGGGGACACGGGTTCCAGCCCTGGTCTGGGAAGATCCCACATGCCGCGGAGCAGCTAAGCCCGTGCTCCACAACTACTGAGCCTGCGCTCTAGAGCCTGTGAGCCACAACTACTGAGCCCGTGGGCCTAGAGCCTGTGCGCCGCAGCAAGAGAAGCCACCGCAATGAAAAGCCTGGGCAGGGCAACAAAGAGTATCCCCTGCTCACCACAACTGGAGAGGGCCCGCATGCAGCAGCAAAGATGCAACAGAGCCAAAAAGAAAAATAAATAAATTAATCAATTCATTTAAAAAAAAACTTACAAAGAAGGGACTTCCCTAGTGGGTAAGACTCCGGGCTCCCAATGCAGGTGGCCCAGATTCGATCCCTGGTCAGGGAACTAGATCCCAGCATGCATGTTGCAACTGAGAAGTCCACGTGCCACAACTAAGACCCAGCACAGCCTAAATAAATATATATATATTTTTTAAAGTTACAAAGGAAGGAGAACTACCTGGCGGTCCAGTTGGTAGGACTCCGCACTTTCACTGCTGAGGGCTCAGGTTCAACCTCTGGTAGGGGAACTAACGCAGCCAAATTTAAAAAAGAAAAAAAAATGTTCCTCTGTAACTTTTTTTTGAGTTTCAAAGGAAAAGCAACGGGACTTCCGGGGCGGCTGCCTATGTCCCCATCTCTCAGTGCTTCCTTCCCAAGCAAATCGAAACAAGAATGGGAAATAAAACTCTGCCATAGCTTCAGCATAACTTGAAAGCAGAGAATGTCCAAACTTCAACATAACTGTAAATAAAAAGAAAGCCCCCCACAGGGTTGTGCGGACCTCTTGCGCTCCAGCCCCACACAGCCCTACCACCAGGCTCTGTACCAAGATAAACGGGGAAGAGACAGAAGAGGGGAGTTGGCAATGGGGCCCAAGGTCGATCTAGAACCTCCATCAGGAAGACGATGTCATCTGCAGTCTGTAAATAACAGGAAAATGCCCTGGGGGATCAGCGTTCAGACTACAGGGAAGGGACTAAAAGATATGTGGGATTTGAAGCGTCAGTCTTTAAAATACATAGGTTCTGGGAAAGGAAAAATAAAAACACCAAATGGTCGAAGAGTCTTTGGGCAATTGAGTGATGAAGGGGGAAAAAGCAAAAGGGAAAAATTTAGGGTCTTGCAAGACAAAAGAGAAACAAACAAAGAAACTGGAGGACACAAACCCCTTTCCCCAACCAGACAAACAAATTAAAATGCACTGAAGTAGGGCTTCCCTGGTGGTTCAGTGGTTGAGAGTCCGCCTGCCGATGCAGGGGACACGGGTTCGTGCCCCGGTCCGTGAAGATCCCACATGCCGCGAAGCGGCTAGGCGCGTGAGCCATGGCCGCTGAGCCTGCACGTCCAGAGCCTGTGCTCCGCAACGGGAGAGGCCACAACAGTGAGAGGCCCACGTACCGCAAAAAAAAAAAAAAGAAAAAAAATGCACTGAAGTGTCTGGACTTTGCTATATTGACATAAGAGTGTGCTATAGAGCTAGGAATCTTGTAAAACACCCCAATATCACAAAAAATGAACAAGAAAAGGAGTAACAGATCCATCTGGAACTATTATTAAAAACCAAAAAATAGTCAGAAAATAAAATCCAGTACACATTAACTGAGGAAATTTCCCCCTGAAAAAAAACGACCATAAATCCAAAGAAACAAAATATCACAAAAAATTAATCATATATTAGGTCACAAAGAAATCATCAGTAAGCTGAATAAAATGGAAATATTATAAACAATATTCTCTGAGCAGAATGTAATAAAATGAGAAATCATTAACAAAGACAAAAACAAATTAATTAGGTGAAAAACTGGAATACAAAATTCCAAAAAATAATGATAATGAAAATACTACATATCAGATTCTATGAGATACATTTTTTAAAATAAAGTTATTTATTCATTTATTGCTGGCTGTGTTGGGTCTTCATTGCTGCACATGGGCTTTCTCTAGTTGTGACGAGCAGGGGCTACTTTTCATTGCGATGCAGAGGCTTCTCATTGTGGTGGCTTCTCTTGTTGCGGAGCATGGGCTCTAGGCACATGGCCTTCAGTAGTTGTGGCACGTGGGCTCAGTAGTTGTGGCTCAGGGGCTCTAGAGCGCAGGCTCAGTAGTTGTGGCGCCAGGGCTTAGTTGCTCCGTGGCATGTGGGATCTTCCCAGACCAGGGCTCGAACTGGTGTCCCCTGCATTGGCAGGCGGATTCTTAACCACTGAGCAACCAGGGAAGCCCTATGAGATACATTTAAAGCAATGATTAGAATAACATTCATAGGATTAAACACGTATATCATTAAAAGGAAAAGAATGAAAAGAAATGAGTTTAATTCCCAGCTCTAAGAAAACTAGAAAAAGAACATCAAAGTAAACCAAAAGAAAGCACAAAGAGGGAAAGAATAAAGATAAAAGCAAAGATTAATGCCGTAGAGAACAGAAATTAGGCCTGAATATTTGGAAAAATTAACAAATAGACAAACAACTAGCTAATTTTTCAAGAAAATGGGGGAAAGCACATATATAGCAAATAAATGACAAGAGGAAAATAACCATGGGAACAAGAAAATTTTTTAAAAATTTAAAATGAATTGGGATGATTGGGAGATTGGGATTGACATGTATACACTAATATGTATAACATAGATAGGTAATAAAAACCTGTGGTATCAAAAATAAAGAAAATTCAAAAATAAATAAATAAATAAATTCACCTTAAGCAAATACCACAGTAGTAATTGTTGCAGGCGTGAATCATTGATGGATGCTGAAGTTAGTAAACAAAAGTATGATGAGAAACAAGGTATTTGCATACACTCAAAGTATCTCCCCCCGTGATGTTTACTCATCACAAATGGAAAAAGAGAAACCTGGCAGACACCACCCTAACCAAGTGATCAATGTTAACATGACCAGTAATAAAACAAACCTACATCATATACCATCCAATATGATTCACTGAGAAGCACACATCACTTCCGTTTTATTCTTTCTTTTTTAAATTTTATTTATTTTTGGCTGCGTTCAGTCTTCGTTGCTGCGGCAGGCTTTCTCTTGCTTCAGCGAGCAGGAGCTACTCTTCATTGTGGTGTGCAGGCTTCTCACTGCGGTGGCTTCTCTTGTTGCAGAGCACAGGCTTTAGGTGTGCAGGCTTCATTAGTTGTGGCACGCAGGCTCAGTAGTCGCAGTGCGTGGGCTCAGTAGTTGCGGCAGGCAGACTCTAGGGTGCGTGGGCTTCAGTGGTTGTGGTGCACGGGCTTAATGGCATGTGGGATCCTCCTGGACCAGGGCTCGAACCCGTGTCCCCTGCATTGGCAGGCGGATTCTTAACCACTGCGCCACCAGGGTAGTCCCCACTTCTGTTTTATTCTTCTCCCAAATGAATAACCTCAAAGTAATCATTACAAAACTTCTGATAAATCCAAACTGAGGGATACTCTACAAAATAACTGGCCGATACTTTCCACAAGTGTCAAGTTCATAGAAGAAAAAGAAATCTGAGATGTTTCCCCAGATTGGAGAAGACCAAGGAGACAGGACAGCTGTGGTAGCCAGCCTCCCAGGTGGCCTCTGAGTGAGCCTGGTATTCACGGAATAGGGTTGACCCGTTTACCAATAGGACGTTGTGGAAATGACACCCTGTGATTTCTGAAGCTAGATCATAAAAGACTTTGCAACTTCAACCTTACTTTCTCTGGGAGAAGGCAGCTGCCTTGTCATGAGGCCACTCAAGCATCACTATGGAGAGACCCACGTGGTGAGGTACCAAGGCCTCCTGCTCTTCTGTGAATAAGCCATCTTGACAGCAGATCCCCCAGTCTGGTTAAGACGTCAGATGACCTCAGTCCTGGCTGACATCATGAGTACAATGTCATCAGAGACCCTGAGCAAGAACTACCCAGCTAAGCAGCTCCCAAATTCCTGATCCACAGAAACTAGGAGATAATAAATGTTTGTTGTTTTAAGCTGCTAAGTTTTAGGGTGTTTATTACACAACAATGAATTACTGATTACACGCAATTTGGAATCCTGATTGGATCCTGGTCCCAGGCATCAGTGGGACCACTGGCACAATTAAAATGAGATATATCGATTAGCTAATACCAGTATATCGCTGTTAATTTCCTAGCTTCAACAACTGTCATATGCTTGTGTAAGATGTTCCCATCAAAAGAAGTTTGGTGAAGGGTATACAGGAATTCTGCACTGTTTTTGCAATTTTATGTAACTCTAAAGTTATTTCAAAATAAGTATCTTTTTAAAAAGAGCAGAAAAATATACCTAATTAAAAATAGAAGGAATAAAGTAATAAAGAGCAGAAATTAATAGAAAACATATACTAATGGAAAGAACCAGAAAAGTCAAAATTTGGTTCTTTGATGACACCAATAAAATTGACAAACTTCTGACAAGATGCATTCAGAGTAATTTTTAAAAGAGAAGACACAACAAAAAATGAAAATAAAAAAATTAATAAAAGAGAAGGCACAAATTAACTAACAGGAATAAAAAGGGAGATACGTTCGACAATAAAAATATGAAGATATTATGAACAACTTTATGCCAACTTTTATACTTTATACAATTTATTTATATTTATATAAAGATAGACAAGTCTCTGTAGAAAAATAAAACTCAGCAAAACTAAAACACGTAGAAATATACATCCTGATTTGTCCTATAATATTAAACAAATTGAATCAGTAGATAAAATCTTACCTCAAACATATAGAATGGATAAACAACAAGGTCCTGCTGTACAGTACATAGAACTATATTCAAGATCCTATGATAAACCATAATGGAAAAGCATATTTTGAAAAAAGAATGTATATATATGTATAATTGAATCACTTTGTTGTAGAGTAGTAACTAACACAGCATTGTAAATCAACTACACTTCAATCAAATAATTTTTTTTTAATCTTATCACAAAGAAAACCCCAGGCCTATATGGCTCCAACAGTAAGATTAACCGAACATTCAAAGAACAAACAATTCTATCTTGTACAAATCCTGCCAGGGTATATATAGAGAGGGACCTTCCCTCTCACGTGTCATAAAGGTAGCATACTTGATACCAAAAGCTAAAAAAGAAAGAAATACTGCAGGCTCATAGACACGGACGTAAAATACCCTAAGCAAATGATTAAACTGAACCTGGTAATATAGAGACAAGATAACACACGGTGCCCAAGTTGGATTTACTCCAAAACTGCAAGGTTAGAGACAAGGAAATTAATGTAATTTACCCCCTTCATAGATTAGAGGAGAAAAATTGCACCATCTCAATGAATGCCGAGGCACATCTTGCCTTGCCCAGTGATACAGATCCCATGGGGCTGTAGGCGACAAGTGGTTAAAGCAATGGGAGGGGCAGTGGCTGGGCGGAAAGTCTGAGCCAGTTGCTGAGGTGGATCAAGTTATTGGCAGCTTTACCTGGAGTGCAGTCAATTTTGCACTGAAGGGACTTCCCTGGTGGCGCAGTGGTTGAGAGTCCGCCTGCCGATGCAGGGGACACGGGTTCGTGCCCCGGTCTGGGAAGATCCCACATGCCACGCAGTGGCTAGGCCCGTGAGCCATGGCCGCTGAGCCTGCGCGTCCGGAGCCTGTGCTCCGCAACGGGAGAGGCCACAACAGTGAGAGGCCCACTTACCGCAAAAAAAAAAAAAAAAGAAAAAAAAAGAATCTGCCTGTCAGTGCAGGGGACACCAGTGCGAGCCCTGGTCCTGGAAGATCCCACATGCTGTGGAGCAACTAAGGCCATGCACCACAACTACTGAGCCTGTGCTCTAGAGCCCGTGAGCCACAACTACTGAGCCCGTGAGCCTAGAGCCTGTGCTCTGCAACAAGAGCAGCCACTGCAATGAGAAGACTGCCCACCACAAGGAAGAGTAGCCCCCGCTCTTTGCAACTAGAGAGCCCGTGTGCAGCAATGAAGAGCCAACGCAGCCAAAAATAAAGATGTATATTATTTTTTTTAAATGTATATTAAAAAAATTTTGCACTGAAAAAGAAAATCCTTTCAATAATTAACTGGAACATTTTTGTAAGCATATTTATAATAAAATAACCACTTGGGTTTATGAGAAAAATAAAAGCAAGGTAATGAGTTTAAAAACAATTAATATTTAAAAATAATAGGGAACTTCCCTGGCGGTCCAGTGGTTAAGACTCCCCGCTTCCCCTGCAGGGGGTGTTGGTTCCATCCCTGGTTGCGAACTAAGATCTCATACGCCGAGTGGCTCGGCCAAAAATTTAAAAAATAAAATTAAAAAAAGGATACATCTGAAGGAATACACTATATAAAGGTATTTTAAAAAATAATAAAATTAGGGGTGTGGTATCTTGTGGTGGGAGACGGAGACATGATGGGAGACGGCGATGTTGCTAATAGTCTGTTTCTCAAGTTGGGTGTTTATTATTTCACTCTATTGCTTATGTATATTTGACATCAATTATTTTGTACGTATCAAATATTGCATTATTTTACAAAGTGAACTCAACATGCTGCCTTGTAAACCTGCTGTCTCTGGGATTCCCCCGCCCTTGAGAATCATTCTACCTTCCACATAGAAGACTGGGCCCGCTGGGGCCCTTTCCCTCCCCTTGGCCAGCCCGCTCCCCCCGCGACACACACACACACACACACCCACACACACACTTAGTCAAATGCTGCCTCCTGGCCCTTCATACCTTCAGCATCTCCGTCCACCCTGCCCAGCCCGGAGCGGGCTGTCTTTATCTCTCCCTGAGCGGCTGCAGCAGCTTCCTGACCACTCTTCCAGCTCCAGCTGAGGCTCCCCTCCCTCCTCCAGGCCGGCGCTCCTGCGGAAACCCGCAGTTTCTTCCCACTGACCCTGGATAAAGTCCTAAGAGGCTGTTTACAAGACCCTGCGCCATCTGGCTCCACCCACCTCCTCAGACTCATTTTCAGCCATTCTCAGCCTCTCTCCCCAAGCTCCAGGGATTCTCTTTACTTCCTAAAATACACCCAGACTTTCAGGCCAGAGGTCTTCCCACTGACCTTTATTCCTTTCTCTCTTCCTACCTTCTAATCATCTTTTCGTTCCATCTTAAAAGTCAGTTCCTCATCCCATTTTTCATTACTTTTTATTATTCATGACCAGGTATGGCCTTTGAAAACCTCCCTCTCTTACGATCTGCCTCACTGTTATTTGACTTCCAGCCAAATGCAGAAGATTTCCAGGTAACTCCAAGGGTCCCTAGGGAATGGTAGGGCCACCAGATACAAGGAGCCTGGGTTCTTGAATTACCAGGTAGAAGCCCACCTTCCAATCGCTCCTCACTCTATCCAAGACACCTGGGGTATTAGTTAACTATTGTGTAAAAATTACCCCAGAAGTTTGGGGTTTAAATTTTTTCAAAAAGCATTTCATCTCGCTGTTCTGTGGGTCAGGAATTCAGGAGCAACTTAGCTGGGAGGTTCTGACTCACAGTCTCTCATGAGATTTGTAGTGAAGTTGGCCAGAGCTGCAGTCGTCTGAAGGCCTGGCTGGGGCTGAAGGATCCCCTTCCCAGAGTGTCACTGCCATGGTTGTTGGCTGTTGGCCTCAGTTCCTCAGCATGTGGACCTGTCCATAGGGCTGCTTGAGTGTCTTCATGCCATGGCGGCTGGCTTCCTCCAGAGCGATTGACCCAAGACAGAGCAAGCAGGAAGCCAAAGTGCCTTTCGTGACCAGGCCTCCAAAGTCTCACACCATCACTTTTATTCTATTCGTTAGGAGCAAATCACTGAGTCCAGCTTATACTCAAGGGGAGGGGAATTAGGGTCCACCTCTTGAAAAGAGAGGTATCATGAATGTATGGACATATCCTAAAACTACCACGCCTAGGAGACTCCAACTCTGGCTGAACCCTTCCATCCACCTACTTGGTACCTGCAACAGAGGAGAAAACAAATCAGATAACCAGAGGGTTGCTTCACTTTGAACTCAGGGCTCTAAGGTCATAAAATTCTTTGGACACTCATGCTTCCTGGCACTCCTAATGCAGCTCGATACAAAGTTCCTACTCCCTCTTTCTGAGATAACTAATCACAACTTCTCACTCCTCACCTCCAACACTCTTTCTCTTTTCCTGCCCCTGAATCTACCTGAATCCACATCTGTACACACCTCCTGCTCAGATAGAACTGTCTCTCCTCCTTTCAAACACTCAGGGTCCTCCTCATCTGCCCCACCTCCCCTACCCTCTTGATTTCCCAAAGTCTTCACTTCCCTGTGTGTTTCTTTGTGTATTTGTTGTCTTTTATTGACTGTACACTCCGTGAGGGCAGGGATTTTTATCTATTTTGTTCACAAATGCATTCTCTACGCTTAGAACAAGGCCTGGCTGATGGCGGGGACTCACTATATACTTGTTGGATGAATAAACAACTGAATCCATGGGAAGAGGGAAACTCCATCTATTCTAAGGGGAAGGAGGCAGGAGCAAGCGAGACGTAGGAGGAAAGGTGTGTGCCCCAGATTTCTTACCCTGGGCAAGAAGGCTCAGGAGGGCGGAAGGTGTCTTTTTACTCACACCTGAGTTCCCAGCACCCAGCCCCGTGTCTGACACATAACAGGTTCCATTAAAAGTGTGTTGATTGGCCGGGTGCCAGCTGACTACCCAAGCCACACCTTTCTTTGTCTGAACTAGACTTGGGTGATAGGTGCTGTCCCCTGTAATGTATGTCCCTTTCCCTGAAGCCCATGGTGGCCCGAGTTGCGTCCTGACATGGCCTCACACCTGGCTGCCTGCGCCCTTCAGCAGGCAGAGACTTGGGCTTCTGACCCGGCTCTGCCCTCCGAGGACGGCCAAGCTGTCTAGCCTTGTGGTGGCTGTTCCGCGGCTTTGCCCAGAGACTGTTGGGAATGACTCAGCCCCCTGACACTGCTTGAATTGGGGGGTGGAACTCCTCACAGGCACTGGGGGAGTGGGGACCAGGCAATGGGACCTGGCAGCTGACTAGGAGGGCTGTGGTGTGTGAGGCAACCAGACAGTCCCAGCTCGGCCACTCTCCAGGGTGACTGAGCCTAAGTCCCTCAGCCTCTCTGAGCCTCCGCTTTCTCATGAATGAAACAACACGTTGTCACGGGGATTGAGAAAATGGACATGTTACAAAGTACACAGGGTGAGGGGGGGCTGTGGGATCACACTGCCTGCTTTAAATCCTGACTTTGCCTTTTCCTATTAGCTGTGCAAACCTTGGGCAAGTCACTTAACTTTTCTGTGCCTCAGTTTCCTCATCTATGAAACAGGCATGAGGGACTTCCTTGGTGGTCCAGAGGTTAAGACTCTGCGCTCCCAATGCAGGGGGCCTGGGTTCCATCCCTGGTCAGGGAACTAGATCCCACATGCCGCAACTAAAGATCCCACCTGTTGCAACGAAGATCCCATGTGCCGCAACTAAGACCCAGCACGGCCAAATAAATAAATAAATATCAAAAAAATATATCTACTCCCTTAGCAACTTTAAAAAGTATATTTATTGGTCTAGTCATGTTTTCTATTTCATGTTGGGTCAGTTTTACACATCTTTTGTTTTCTAGGAAATTGTTACTTTCACCTAAGTTTTCAAATTTGTCGCCATAAAATTGCACCTACTACACCCTTATTATTTTTTTTTTTTGTTAGAGGATGAATATTCTTTTTTTCTTTGGTTGCCGCCGGGTCTTAGTTGCAGCAGGCGGGCTCCTTAGTTGTGGCATGTGAACTCTTGGTTGTAGCATGCATGTGGGATCTAGTTCCCTGACCAGGGATTGAACCCGCGTGCCCTGCATTGGAAGGTGGATTCTTAACCACTACACCACCAGGGAAGTCCCCACACTTATTATTTTTAAATCTCCATTGTGTCTGTGGTTATCTCCCTTTTTCATTCATTATATTGTTCATTTTTACCTTCACTTTATGTTCTTGATCAGTCTTGCCAGAATTTTGCCTATTAGCTTATTCAAAGAGCCAGGTTTGAACTTCATTAATCTTCTCTATTTTATTGGCATCATAGAAGTGTTAAGTGTTCTGATCCACAGACACAGTATACCTCTCCATTTACTTATATATTTAATTTCTCTTGGCAATGTTTTATACTTTTCACTGTATAAGTCTTGCATATTTTTACATTAATTTTATCATTAAGCATTTCATATTTTAATGCTCTGTAAGTATTTTAAAATTTTTAATTTCTGATTGTTTACTGTATTTAGAAATGCAGTTTCTTTTGTATATTGACTTTCTATCCTACAACCTTGCTGAACTCACTTGTTAGTTCTAGTAACTTTTTTGTGGCTTCCTTAGGATTATATGTATAGACAATTATGTTGTCTGTGAACCAAGACAGTTTTATTTCTTCTTTTAAAATCTGTATGCTTTTTTTTTTCTTGCTTTATTGCCCTGGCAAGGACCTCCAGTATAATGTTGAGTGGAAGTGGGAAAAGCAGACACCCTTGCCTTGCTCCTCATCTTAGAATTCGTCTAATTTATTGGCATAAAATTGTTCATGATATTCCCTTATTACCCTTTTAATATCTGTAGAATCTATAGCGATGTCACCTCTCTCAATCCTGATATTGGTAATTTGTATCTTTTTCTTTTTTTCCTGATCAATCTGGTTAGGAAGTCTGTCAATTTTATTGATCTTTTCAAGGAACCATCTTTTGGTTTCTTTGATTTTCTCTATTTTTTTTGTTTCTGTTTTCTATTTCATTGATTTCCTTTTTGGAGTTAATTACTTCCTTTATTTTGCTTCTTTGGGGGTTGATTTTTCTCTTCTCTTTCTAGTTTCTTAAGGTGGAAGCTGAGGTCATAAGCAGTCCTTTCTTCTTTTCTAACATAAGAATTTAGTACTATAAATTTCCCCAAAATTCTTTAGTGGAATCCCACAAATCCTATTATGTGTGTTTTCATTTTCACTAAGTTAAAAAGACTTTCTAGTTTCCATTTTGATTTATTCTTTAATCCATTACTTACTTAGAAGTGTTTTGTTTCCGAAAATTTTGGGATTTTCCAAGCATCTTTCTCTTATTGATTTCTAAGTTAATTCCATTGCTGTCATAGAAATACTTTATGTGGGTTGAATTCTTTTAAATTTATTGAGTCTTGTTTAATGTCCCCAAATATGTGTGTCATGGTAAATGTTTTATGTACATTTAGTAAAAACATGTATTCTGCTCTTGTTGGGTGAAGTGTTCTGTAAATGTTAATCAGGTCAAGTGGTTGATAGTATTGCTTAAGTCTACTCTATCCTTGCTGGTTCTCTGCCTACTTGTTGTTGTATCAATTAATGAAAGAAGATTATTAAAATCTTTGACTATTATTATGGATTTGCCTATATCTCCCTGCAGTTCAATCAGTTGTTACTTGTAATTTGAAGTTCTGTTATTAGGTGCACAAATGTTTAGGATTGTTATATATCTTCTTGATTGACTGACCCCTGTATCATAATAAAATGACCTTCTTTAACACTGGTGATATTCTTTGCTTGGAAATCTACTTCTTCTGTTCAGTGTGAGGAAAAAAGGCTCAGGCCTCCATCCTTAAGCTCAGGGCCTCTGCAAGTGAGATTTAAGTTCATTGCTAAAGTCAGCACAGGTTGCTAAGCCCCATGATGGGGAAACACAAAGCATTGTGGGAACGCATGGAAGGGGCCCCCATCCAGACTGAGGAGTTAAGCAATGTTTACTGTGTTGATAATTGAAGAGAAAGACAGTCTTTGGAGAAGGAAAGGCCTATACAAAAGGTGAGAGTCGGACTTCCCTGGTGATGCAGTGGATAAAGAATCTGCCTGCCAGGGCTTCCCTGGTGGCGCACTGGTTGAGAATCCACCTGCCAATGCAGGGGACACGGGTTCGAGCCCTGGTCTGGGAAGATCCCACATGCCGTGGAGCAACTAAGCCCGTGAGCCAAAACTACTGAGCCTGTGCTCTAGAGCCTGTGAGCCACAACTACTGAGCCTGCATGCCGCAACTACTGAAGCCCACGTGCCTAGAACCCATGCTCAACAAGAGAAGCCACCGCAATAAGAAGCCCACGCACCGCAACAACGAAGAGTAGCCCCCACTCACCGCAACTAGAGAAAGCCTGTGCGCAGCAACGAAGACCCAACGCAGCCAAAATAAATAAATTAAATAAATAAATTTATAAAAAATAAAGAATCCTCCTGCCAGTGCAGGGGACACACATTCTATCCCAGGACTGGGAAGATCCCACATGCCACAGAGCAACTAAGACCGCGTGCCACAACTACTGAGCCTGCATGCCACAACTACTGAAGCCCATGTGCCTAGAGCCCGTGCTCCTCAACAAGAGAAGCCACTGCAAGGAGAAGCCTGCGCACTGCAACAAAGAGTAGCCCCCACTCGACACAACTAGAGAAAGCCCACGTGCAGCAACGAAGACCCAACGCAGCACCCCAAAAGTAATTAATTAATTTTAAAAAAAGTTGAGGGTCCCACTTGGGTCATGGTATGTATGGTGCATCGGGAGCCCCCAGAAGTGGGGCATAGGCCTGAAGGGCAGTGTTTGGGAAAGGGAGGCAAGATATGTACTGAGATGTCAGAGGATCTTTTTTGCCACTGCTTGGACAGTTAATAGGGAGGAGAGTGTAGGAAAGGAGATCAGTTAGGTGACTGTTGCATTTGCCCAAGCATGAGATAATGCTGGTCTGAACTAGGACTAGGAGATGAAGATGGAAGAGAAAGAATAAATTCTAGAGACACTCAGGAGGTAGACTCAATAGAACTTCATATCGATAAATGGAATATTGATAACTGGAATATTTCCTGCCATATCAGTAAACAAAGGATGTCACAGCCATCAACAATTGCAGCCCTCCAACATGAGCCAGTGAGCCCTGAGGAAGCTCGGGATGTGAAAACACAGGATACTAGCCCCAGCTAGCTGAGGTGCATATCAAAGGAATGATTTCACTGAGCCCAGACTCTTGCATCTTCCCATACATAGAAAAGCACTAAATTCCTTAACTTGATATATCTGGTTTTCTTTAATTAACAATAATCTTTTGATGTTCAGACTACCTGCCCTTTGTTGCAAAACGTCTATATAACCAGGCTCCCCCTCTTTGCCTCCTCGGAGCAGCTTCTCAGAGCTATCTGAAATGCTGTCTCGTGGGGTGCAGTCCTTACTTTGACCCAAATAAAACTTAACTTGCAACTCTCACGTTGTGCATTTTTTCTAAGCCAGTATCTTGCCTGATGTACGGCAAGAGCCTCCTAATTGATCTCCTTGCTCCAAACCCTTGTCCTCCACCCCACAACATCCCACAGCACAGGAGCTGGAGTAGGACATGTTACACCTCTACTCAACACCCTCCAATGGCTCATCATGTCACTCAGAGTAAAAGTCAAAGTCCTTATAATGGCCAACACCTTCTGGCCCTGCCCCCCTCTCCTACTGCTCACCCTTTTGCTATTTCTACTCCAGCCACATTCACCTCCTCCAACAAACCAGGACTGGTCCACCCTTACCTAGCTGCAACTCTACCCAGACATCCACTCAGCTCCTTCAACTCTTTGCTCAAATGTCATCTTCTCGCTGATACTGCAACCTGCTTCGAGCACCCCTCCACACTCCTGGTCCCCTTTGTTCTGCTCTACTTTTCCCCTACAGCACTTCTTACCTTCCAACATATTAGATAATGCACTTACATTATGTATATGGTTTATTGTCCACCCCATCTACTAGGGTGAAACTACACAAAGGCAAAGATCTTTGCTTTGTTCACTGACATCCTAAGTTACTAGAACAGGCAGCATGGGATACGTATTGGCAGACAACTGAATAAATAACTTAATTACCAGTTTGGATGTGGGGGGCAGATCGAGAGGGAGATGGCGAGTGTGATGCCCACGTTTCTGGAGCTGGGGTTGCGGTGGAGGACTAGGGACACTGAATTTTTTTTAAAGCAGGAGAGAGCCCAGCTGAAGACCTCACATGGGAGTCATCAGCAACAGGGCAGGGGTATTGAAACCACAGGAGCAGAGAGGATCATGCAGGGAAAGCAGACAGAAGTGGCCAATGTGGACAGCATTTAAATAAAAGGAAGGGGACAGAGACATAGCTGGGGGGAAAAGCAGAGGCATGTGGGGTCACAGAAGCTCAGGGAGGAGACTTTTAAGGAGAGAGAGGTTGAGTCAGGCAAGAACTGAAAGCTGGCTACTGGACGCAGTCACTAGAAAGTCATAGACAGCCTTATGGGGGAGCCAACTCAGTGACAGGTTACAAGCTAAACTGGTCAGGCCAATTCAGGTCAACAGGTGGTGGTAAAGGTAACTGAGGTTAACGGTACACGAATATAGGGTCAGAGAGATTTGGTGCCAATGCCAGGACTTGTTAAATTTCTGAACCTCAATTGGTCCCACGTAAAATGAGGATAGCACCACCCAGCTTATTAACTTTAGTGACTGATGATTAAATTAGATGATGGAGGAAAACGCAAGGCACAAAGTGGGTGCATTAGCTCCATTCTGTCAACGAGCCGACTGGGTTGGCTGCGAAGCAGACATAGACAGACATAGACAGCCAAGACCAGGGGGAGCTGCGCCTACGGCCCAGGAATGAATGATATAAGGACAGCAAAGCTGTAGGCTTGGGGAGGGGTGCGGGCCTGCGACGTTGAAATCCATCCCTTTGCACAGAACACTCCCATCCCAAGATTAGCCGGAATGAAAGCTCTGCCTTCTCCTCAGTCCCAGGCACAGCTCCCTCTCAGAGTGCAACAAACGTCCCCTGGGGCAGACTCGGAACACCCGCCCACGGATTGCACCTTTTCTACTCTCGGCCCACCCGGGTTGGACCCGGCCCTAGGCAACGCTACCTTCCGCCCCTAGCTCACCTGCTTTTCTCTTTCGATAGGCCAGCGATTTTCCTTTCTTTTTCTTACTGGTCCGCGTAACTCTATTTCGAGCAATCAGTAGCGGCCACGGGGACCCAACTCACTCCCACACAACTTGGGGGTGATCTAGGAGGAGACATATGTTTCTTTCCTGAATCCAGTTCTCTTAGAAAGCATCTGATTTGTCAAACTGTTGTGAATCCCCCTGGAATGAGTCTCTAAGACACTTTATTTCTCTTAGGCCTGTAATGTCTGTTCCTTGCATACTCACCCCTCCAAATGGTACGGCCCGCACAATGCCCCCCCCCCCCAATCCAGCCGCTTTGAGAGTCCTCCGCTAGGTTGAGTCCACTCAGAGGTGGAGACGATACCATCTGTGACTAATAAATAGGGAGTCTGTAATCCTCTCCGGATTGCCTATTCCGCTTAGACCACCTCTCCCATCTGTCGCTAGAACCGTGAGCACGAACCCCAGTTGCGTGGTGGGACTACTGTTCCCGGCACCGCGCGGAGCGCGCTGCGCGGGCAAGGGAAAGCAGCACTTGGTACGATCCATTCCCCGCCCCGCCCCGCCGGAAGTGAGGTGTCTCACTCCCGAAGTTCCGGCTCGCAGTGGGTGGGGAGTGTTGTTAATCGGAGTCGCCTCCGCAGTCGCGGGGTTTGAGCGGGCTCGCGGTGCTGGGCACCTGGTGAGTGGGCCGGGGCCGGGGTCGGGCCCGGGTTGGGGTTGGAGTCGGGACCTGGATCTTTCCCCTTCAGGTCTCCGGGGTCGGCGCGCCCCCTCAGCCCCGTCGCCCGCTTTCGGCCTGTCATCTGGCCGTAGACAGGCTCCCGCGCGGCCGCTCTCAGAGTCTCGGCCCCGTCTGCGACGCTCGCAGCTCCTGGCGTTTACAGGTGCGCGAACGTGGAGGCGACCCGGGTCCCTCTCCGTCCCGCCCCTGCATCCTGACGGTCGGCCGTTTCTCCGGTGCCCCGAGTTGACACTGCCCGGGGGTTGGGGAGCGCCAGGGTTCCAACCTGACGTACCCCGCCCGCTCCCGCGGGGCGCGCGTCGGAGCTGCCCACCCTGGCGGAGCTGTCACCGGCGCTGTCGCCTGCCCGGCTGCGCCCCCCAGCGCCTTGGCTTCTCCCGGTCCAGGCCGCACGTTCCCGCTGCGGGAGATTTCTGCTTTTGCATCCCACTCCATCACCGTCACTTTAGGGACACTGGGAGCAGTTCCCTCCTCCTCCGACTTTGCTGCCTTTCCTCATTCTTCCCTGGAGGCGGCGGTCTGGCAGGCGGCGTGGAAAGAGCCCTAGATCTGAAACAAGACTAACCCAGGCTGCTGGCCTTGCGTCAGTGTGATCACTTAACCCCTTTGAGTCTCAGTCTTCTAATTTGTAAAATGGGGGAGTATATGCTATTCTTGATGCGATGATGGTGAGGACGAAGTGAGGTTTCCTTTGCTTTCTCCTGTTTACTAGCGCTGCGTCTCAGGCGCTGTGCTAGGTGTGCACAGTATTGGGCATCACACCGTTCTTTCCCCCCGCAGGTCCCTAGGCCAGGGCAATGTTCCGCACCGCCGTGATGATGGCGGCCAGCCTGGCGCTGACCGGGGCCGTGGTGGCTCATGCCTACTACCTCAAGCACCAGTTCTACCCCACCGTGGTGTACTTGACCAAGTCTAGCCCCAGCATGGCAGTGAGTTCAGGGCTCAGGGAGGGAGGAACTCCCTGGGAGGGAAGGAGGAGTCTGTTTGAGACAGGGGTGGGGCTAAAGGTCAGGTAAGTGGGAGACAAGTGAAGTAGCTGCCAGGCCTAACTTTGAACAAATTGTGATGGGGATGTGGAGAGGCTCCTGAGTGATGAGCCCCGGACAGAGCAAAGCAGAAAGTGACCTCAAACCATAGCCTCCCCTCACTCCTAGGTCCTGTACATCCAGGCCTTCGTCCTTGTCTTCCTCTTGGGCAAGGTGATGGGCAAGGTGTTCTTCGGACAGCTGAGGGCAGCAGAGATGGAGGTGAGATGTTCATGGCTCCAAAGGTGAGGGGCAGGGAGCTGGGCAAGCAGAATGTCTGAGTTCCACATCATTCCTTGCCCAACCTGCAGCATCTCCTGGAACGTTCCTGGTATGCTGTCACTGAGACTTGTCTGGCCTTCACTGTTTTTCGGGATGACTTTAGCCCCCGCTTTGTGGCACTCTTCACTCTCCTTCTCTTCCTCAAGTGTTTTCACTGGCTGGCTGAGGACCGTGTGGACTTTGTGAGTTGGGTCGGGGGGTTCTCTGGAGCAGACAGAGGGCTGGCTTGTGGAGTGATGGCTGGGTTGGGGACATGGAGTGAGCCCCAGCCTTCCTGACGGGCCCCCTCTCTCCTCTGCCTCAGATGGAACGCAGCCCCAATATCTCCTGGCTCTTTCACTGCCGCATTGTGTGTGAGTGAGACCCATGGGAGCGGAGAGGAGGGAGCTGGAGGGAGAAGAGGCACCATGAAGGACTGGAACATGAAAAGTCACTAACCATGGACCTGTACCGTAGAGCACAGGCTGCCCTCGGCCCTCAGCTGTACAGGAAAGATAATTTAGGAAGTTAATTTGCATCATCTCTGCCTGTTCCACTCCAGGGCTTCTCAACTGCCTAGCCCCTTAGCTCTTTGCCTCCTCACCTGGAGCTTGGGCCACCCCTAGGCAGAACTGGAGTTCCCAGGGGGCCGGGTTCAGTGGAGTGTACCCACCTGACTAGATGGCTAGGGCCGTGGTGGGCTTGAGGGTGGGAGCTGTCTTAGAGCAGGAAGTGGCTGTCAGGCCCTGGGCTGACCCCACCAACCTCCCATTTGGGGGGTCCCCACAGCCCTTATGTTCCTCCTGGGTATCCTGGACTTCCTCTTCGTCAGCCATGCCTATCACAGCATCCTGACCCGTGGGGCCTCTGTGCAGCTGGTGTTTGGCTTTGAGGTAAAACTGGCTTGGGAGGTTGGGAGGACAAGCCCAAGGTGGCACTGTTGTGCCCTGACAAACCTTTATCGAGCACCTGCTCTGTGGCCAGCCCGTGTGGGCCACCAAGGAGCAGCCATCAGTCAGTCCCAGCCCCTGCCCTCTACGCACTCCTAGGAGAGCGGGGACGGCGCAGAAAGGCGCGTGTGGAGGAGGAGCCCTGACCTGGCGCTCAGGGAAGGCTTCCTGGAAGTTGATGCCAGAGGAGCTGGCTGTCGATGGACAGAAGGAATTAGCTTGATGGACAGCTGGGGAGGTGTGTCCCCAGCAGAGGAAGAACGTGTCCAGTGACAACAGTTCACGTCTGTTGAGTGCTTACTGTATGCCGGGCCCTGTGCTGAGCACTTGACCTGCATCTCTTTCAATCAGCAAAACAACGTTGTTATAAAGGAACAGTTAATTCTGTCATTTACAGACAAGCAAACTGAGGTTCAGAGAGGTCTACGAGTTGCTGAAAGTCACACTAGCTAGTGAGTGGAGAAGCTAGGAGGACCCCGGCTGTGTCCAAGCCTGTGCTTGTACCGTGGCCCTCCGCTGTGCACAGGCCTGGGGACAGCGGTTTGGCTGGAGCCCGGGGCCTGTGTTCATATGTCCACCCCCCCACCCCCAGTATGCCATCCTGATGACTATGGTGCTCACCATCTTCATCAAGTACGTGCTGCACTCTGTGGACCTCCAGAGCGAGAATCCCTGGGACAATAAGGCCGTGTACATGCTCTACACGGAGCTGTTTACAGGTGAGACAGGCCTGGACCTCCCCTGACCTGCACCAGTGTCCCCAGCCCTGCCTACCAGGCCCTGTGACCTGTCACTCTCTGCACCCCTTGCCCCCAGGCTTTATCAAGGTTCTGCTGTACATGGCTTTCATGACCATCATGATCAAGGTGCACACTTTCCCTCTCTTTGCCATCCGGCCTATGTACCTGGCCATGAGGTGAGCCTAGCCCTGCCCTGCCACAGCTCTGACCCCTCCCCTCCGTCTCCCTCCTTCTACTGAAACTGTCTTTTCAGGCAGTTCAAGAAAGCTGTGACAGATGCCATCATGTCTCGCCGAGCTATCCGCAACATGAACACACTGTAAGTGGGCGTGTCCTAGCTGCTCGCCCAGGCTGTGCCCCAGGTGCCCCTGCCTCCAGCTCTGGTCTTGACGTGTCCTTGGTCTGTCCTAACCAGGTATCCAGACGCCACCCCAGAGGAACTCCAGGCGATGGACAACGTCTGCATCATCTGCCGAGAAGAGATGGTGACTGGTGCCAAGAGACTGCCCTGCAACCACATTTTCCACACCAGGTGGAGATGCCCTGAGCAGCCTGCACATGAGGGAGCGGCTTTGGAAGGCAGACCCCGAGGCACCTGCTAACTGTTGCCTGGTCTTGACCCCCAGCTGCTTGCGCTCCTGGTTCCAGCGGCAGCAGACCTGCCCCACCTGCCGTATGGATGTCCTTCGGGCGTCGCTGCCGACCCAGTCACCACCGCCCCCTGAGCCTGCGGATCAGGGGCCACCACCTGCCCCCCACCCCCCACCACTCCTGCCCCAGCCCCCCAACTGTGAGTGGCACTCATCTGGCCATCCAGCACACTGCTGGGTTCTCGCCCCAGACTGGGAGTGGGAAATGCGGAGGTGAATCAGAGTCCCTGCCCTCGAAGCTCAGTCTGGGGCCGGGGGGCTGGTCACGGGAAGAGACGCAGATGATTGCCGTCATGTCTGATCCGTGCTGGGCTCAGAGAGGGCCTGTGGGAGCAGAGGACAGAGCCCCAATACCTGGTCCCTTGCCTGCGATTTGGCTCTATCTCAGTTTGGACCTTTTCTCACCACCCCGTCCTCTCTCTGCAGTCGCCCAGGGCCTCCTGCCTCCCTTCCCCCCAGGCATGTTCCCGCTGTGGCCCCCCATGGGCCCCTTTCCTCCTGTCCCACCTCCCCCCAGCTCTGGAGACGCTGTGGCCCCTCCGTCCACCAGTGCAGGTGAGTCTTTTGGGTAGCACGCCAGCCAGGGCGGTGGAAGGAAGGGAAGCAGAGGCCCCTCAGCACGGACTAACTTCCTGTTCTTGCTCTTTCGCAGCCCTTTCTCGGCCCAGTGGAGCAGCCACAACCACAGCTGGTTCTGCTGCCTCTGCCCCAGCACCTGGCTCGGCCTCCACCCCTGACGCTGGCCCTGCCCCAGGCTTCCCCTTCCCTCCCCCGTGGATGGGCATGCCGCTGCCTCCACCTTTTGGTAAGCTGGGCCGCTCGTGGGGTTGTTTTGGGAGGTGTGGGGGTGTCAGGCCCAGGCAGCCCAGGCTGAGCCTCTCTCTCTCTCCAGCCTTCCCCCCGATGCCTGTGCCTCCTGCCGGCTTTGCTGGGCTGACCCCAGAGGAGCTGCGGGCTCTGGAAGGCCACGAGCGGCAGCACCTGGAGGCCCGGCTACAGAGCCTGCGCAACATCCACACGCTGCTGGATGCCGCCATGCTGCAGATCAACCAGTACCTCACCGTGCTCGCCTCCCTCGGGTATGCCTACACGGGGGCCAGGGTGGGCAGCAGGGGTGTGGGGCTGCCGAGAGAAGGCCCCCAGCAGTGGTTCTGGGCCTTTTTCTCCCCTGCCACCCTGTGATACGTGTCGATTCGGGCATTCTATCTCTAGGCACACCCAAGGTGTCGGGGTTCTTGATTCCTTTTTATCTTCCCACTGCAGAAGGCCTGTCTGGATCTGAGGAGGAGTGGTGTTTATCAGAGAGCTATCCTTGAATCTTGTCCTCGTATATAATTCCCAGTACTTTAATCACGTATACTCTCTTGACACAGGGCAACACTTTGACTGGGAGTCACTGCTCCTGATCTGAGACAGCAAATACAAAGTCGCTTGGAGCCAGCTTGGCCCGAATTCAAGTCCTGATCTTATTACTCACTTGCTCTGTGACCTCCATTACCTTATTTGAATAGAGTTCTGATTCCTATTCGCAGGGGATATAGACAAAGTGCTGGCACCCAGCAATGTCGGTACAGACTTGGAGGGGAGCTTGAGTCTGAGACTTGCGTGCTTTGTGTTATTCAGTGCACTGTCTTAGCTGGTACTCTAGAAGGTGCCTGGCATCTCAGAGTGGCAACCCTGCAGTATAACAGTGAACAAGGCCAACGGTCCCTGCCCGCAAGTGGTTTACAATCAATCTGTGGTATAGAATTCCAAGAATCAGTCAACGTGTTCAGTCGTGTCTGCGTCACTGGGGCTGCGAGGCACATCGGTGCTGGAGTGCACCCCGCAAGGCTCACGGAGGGCAGAATCTCTCGAGTCGTGCCAGGATGCCAAGGCCCTCCTCTTGTCCCTTCTCTTCCTAGGCCCCCCCGGCCTGCCACCTCAGCCAACCCCACTGAGGAGACTGCCCCTACAGCTGTCGCTGCTGCCTTCTCCACCAGCACCCCCAGCTCTGAGGCCACCACCCCATCCCTGGGAGCCTCCCCACCAGCCCCTGAACCTGAAAAGCCTTCAGGTAGTTGCGGTCAGCCTACAGTGGGGTGGGGCAGGGGACTTCTCTGGGTTCCGCTTCTGGACCTCTCTGTCCCCAGCTCCTGAGTCAGCGGGCACCGAGGAGCTGCCTGAGGATGGGGAGCCTGACGCAGCAGAGCTCCGCCGCCGTCGCCTGCAGAAGTTGGAGTCCCCTGTTGCCCACTGACACTGCCCCAGTCCTGGCCCCTGCCCCCACTCTTGAGCAGTCCGCGCTGGAACACGTCCTGCCACCAAGTGGCAGCTCCCTCTCTGTCTGCACCAGGGAGTAGTAACCCCCAGCTCTGACACAGAGGAGGTGGCATCTGACCAAGTGGAAAGAGGCCTGAGGCCCCAGTTGACTCCAGCCCTTACAGTCCCAGGCAGCCATGGGGATCTTGGGTCAGTTCCAGCCTTCCTCTCCAACCCTTCAGCCCTGTGTTCTGCTGGGGCCACGAAGACAGAAAGGTGCAGTGTCTGAGAAGCCCTCTGACCCACCCAGTCCCTTTCTGGGAGAAGGGGAGCCCCTCCGAGCCCCCCTTGTGTGTGGAGTCACGCTGCAGTGCCGAACAGTATTAGCTCCTGTTCCCAAGTGTGGACTCAAGGGGCTGGAGGTAGGCCAGGAACTTGCTCCCGGGCCCACCCACGAAGACTGGTACTGATGTCATTTTCTTACCCGAACTCCCCAGGAGCCCTTTGTGGTGGTGGCTGTGCCCCTTGTGCCCTGTGGCATTTCCATGTCTTACTGGCAACCACACAGCTCAGGGAAAGGAGTGTCTGGGGTGGAGAAGCAGGCCGGCAGCACTGAAGGGCCCTGCTCTGCCCCTCCCCCCCAGGCCCTTTTCTCCCTGCAGTTTGTCTGAGGTGAGACTGTCCCTGGTCTCACCCAGCAGCCACTGTGCAACCTCAGTCTAGGCTGAGGGCTCTTGTGTCTGCTTCTGAACCACTGCAAGCCCCAGAACCTACAGAAGGCAACTTCTTAACTTACAGAATTTTTCTTGAGTTTAGAAGAATTGGAATTACTTCCTTGCTATTGTCTTTTGGCTTAAATTTTGTCTTTGAATTTGAATGCTTGACCCCAGGAAAGGGGAGCAGGAGTGCCAAGCTCCCTGTCTTTCCAGTTTAGAAAAGGCTCTGGGCCAGGTGGGGACGACAGGAGCCAAGGCATTGCCTGCCCCTGCCTTTTGCCCCTCAGTGTTGTGTTACAGGAGTTGCTGGAGACAGTTTCAGATGATTATTTAATTTGTAAATATTGTACAAATTTTAATAGCTTAAATTGTATATACAGCCAAATAAAAACTTGCATTAATGACTGGTGGAACTGGTGTGATAGGATCAGTGTGCCATGCTCCTTTTTCTTAACTCAGGCCATAGACTCGAGAGTGGCCTGGAATCTCCAGGAGTGAGGGTTTACTTACACAAGCCAGCACTGTTCTTGGGCACAATGTTGAATATTAAGGTATTAGAAAGATATACCCATTTTATATATGAAGAAACTGAACCCCAGAAAGGTTAAGTACCCTGCCTTAGGTCAGAGCAAGTAGGGGAGCCAGGCTCTGAACCCTGTCTTAAGCCAGCTTGCTGCTGAGATGGGGTGGGAACTCTGGCTTTTGGCCCTTGTGACTCCCAAGGATGGGGCAGGTGTGAAGGTTCCTTGGCCGGGGTGGGATGGGATGGCAGGGACAAAAGGTCAGCATCTTCCTGCCTGCAAACCCCCTGTCCAGCCTTGATACTAGGTCAGCAACCTGGGAAGGATGGCCCTGTGCTGGGCTGCTAGGAGCTCTCAAGGAGCCCCTTGTGGGCAGACCAGCTAAAGCTAATCACTTAATTTGCTGGAGCTGGAAACCCAGTCAGACCCAACTCTTAATATGGAATGGAATAGAGGTAACTGGCCTTTTTGCCTCTCCATGGGTAAAAGGAATGAGCCAAGGGGCTGACGTGCACTACAGTTGGAACTGAAGACCTCCAGGACCCACGTCTGAGTCGTGTTGTGTTCTCTGTAGCCTCTACCAAGTCAGGTATGACCTAGAGCAAGGGCTCAGGGATTTTTCTGCCGCAGTGAGGGTCTGCGGGCCAAGGAAGGAATGTGCCCAATGGGTCTGCCCTGTGCTACCCTCCCGTAAACTGGGCTGGGCTACTGCTTCCAACAGAGGGGCAGTCAATCACCTCTACAGCTTGAATAGCTGAGTCCAAGGAGCTCCAATGAAGGGAAAGCAGGAACACGCCAAAGTGGGGGGGCGGAGGAATTAATGCTCCCCCCTAGCTTGGCCGTTCCTGGTGGGTCTCCAATATTAGACAGCCCTCCCCCCGTGCTGGCACCTATACAGTCCCATTTCCTCCTTTATGCAAACAAGGCCTGCTCCAAGGCCCTCAGCCCTGGTCTCTGTGCCCCTTTCCCCTAGCTGCCTCAACAGCCACTCCCCTCCTCCTGAGATCCCCGGCACTCCAGCCGCAGGGGGACGCTGGTCGTGCAGGCTGCTCAGCTGGGCTTCAGAAGCCCTTCTCCAGAAGCCAGGCTTTGAGCTGCTGATCAAAGTAGCCCTTGACCCGAAGGGTACCTGTCACCTCATTGACCTGGGTGATAGGTGTCTTCCCCAGCAGCGGGCTCAGAAAATCTTCCACATCCTTCTGCAGGGCCTGGGGGAAGATGATGAATCAGGCCTGGTAAGACCTTTCCCTCTAGAGGGTTCCCATCCCTTCAGCCCTGAAAGGTCAGAACCGGACCCTGACCCACCCACCCACTTACCCAAATGTCCCCCTCCACCTTCCGGATCACAGTCATCTGACGGTTTCCATGCGTGATGTCCTTGTAGACTGGGATGTTGTGCATACGAGAGCGTCGCACAAAGTAGGGCAGGTTGGGTGGGGGGTCTATGACAGAGAGGGACAGTGATAAGTCAAATGTTCCCAGACTTCATCTCACCTCAGCCAAGGCCTTTCTCCTCAGAGTGTGCAGGGGGTCAGTGAACCTAACAGCAAAGCCACCTCCAGACTTCAGATCAGGAGACCTGCTCTTTCCCTAAGTTTAGAGCCAGGACCAGCTTGTTCACCCTGGTACCTCAAGGCCCAGCACAGGCCTGGCACCAGAAGGTGCTCAAGAAGAAATGAGGTCAGGGCTATGCCTCCCGGGATCTTTGAGTCCCCCTCTGGAGCCAATCCTTGCCCTTCTCCACTGGGTAGGGGAGGCTAAAATCAATCTCTGGCACAAAGGGATGGGGGTTTATAAGAACTGAACACCTACCACAGGCTGGGCTCTGCATGACATGCTTTATGTGCTGAGCAGATGATCTCTATTTTGCTGCAGCTGAGGTTGGGAGAAGCTAAGTGACTAACTCAACCATACTGGCAATAGACAGCAAAGCCAAATTTGGACCCAGAACTGCCCACCTCCCAAGCTGTGTTCTCAATTATGGCCGGGGGTGGAGGTGGGGGTCCAAATTCTTGGGTCTTCTCTCTATGCTTCACTTTTCCCACATGGGAAGCCCTCACCCCAGTAGTGTGGATGGATGGGTATTAGCCAAACAGGTCTCCGATCCCTGGCCCTTTGTTGAACGTAAGACAGATGCTAGCTCTGAGAGATCTCAACACAAGTCCTGAACCCTCTGGGGAGTACAGAGCCTCAGCCAGGGCAGATAGATCTCTAGGTAGGGGGATGTTTCCCTGCAGCCTTCAAGCCATCCCCATCACCCAGCTCACCTCTGGGGGGCTGCCAGCCACTAGAAGTGGGATAATGTTCATGCTTTGGGGGCTTTGGGATGCTGGTGGGGGGTAACAGGCGCTCCACAAAACGGTATTCATCCACAGACTCCACGAAGCTGGGGTAATCAGGAGGCCCCTGGGTCTGGCTCCGAGGGGGGGAAAAAAAAATCTCTCCATCAGCCTACCCATCCCCCACGCCCCACCCACCACCCCAGAATAGGGAGAACTTCAGTTAAGTAGAAAAAAGAAACATGACAAGCAGAGAGAATAGTATAAATATAAAAGGCTGGAGGTAGGAAAGCACCAGACTTCAGTTTGCTAGAGTGCAGGGTACAAGTAGGTCTGAAAAAGAAGTTCAGGAACTCGGAAGGGCCTGCCTCCCTCAGGATTTTTGTGGGACTCAAATGAGAAGTGTGTGTATACATCTGAAAAGCTGGGTAACCGTAAGTGTGACCAATACGGCATTCTTCAGTATTTTAAAGTTTCCTGTGAAGATTCTACTGAAATATTCTAGTTCTGGGTTAGGCTCTTTCAGCAATCGTGAAAATTTCCCACTCACACTCATCCGATGTGACCCTCCCTCACCTGGAATATTTCGGCCTCATATGGACACCACCAGGCACTAAGTGCTTACAACTTAATTCGACAAGTCAGGTATTTTATTACCCCCCGGTGTACATCCAAGAAAGATTAAGACATTAGCAAACAATCTACCTAAGGTCACATTCCGGAGTCTGTCCTCCTATACTTCTCCCAACAGATACCCTGGACTCCTGATAGGCCCCAGGGTTACAATGAGAATGAGAAGATGAAGTGGCCTATATATCGTGAGTCCTAGGTTCTCAGAAGTGTCGCCAACGATCTGGGGCCAATTCCCACACTCTGGTACGGTTTCCCCTTCAAAAAAATAGGCAGCGAGAGTCTATGTGCAGCACCTCCCAGTTCCAACTAACTCAAGTTGTCCTCCAATCATATTTCAAGCCCCACACTCCGAAACGCGCTCCAAGCCCTGCCACCTTCCCTGTCAATCTTTTATCTGAGCTCCAGAAAAGTGCCCCCTAGATAGGGACGCGGTTTTTAGACTACAAGAAATACGGTGAGCCTCCACCCAGCCCTCTGCCCCCAGCTTCAGGGTCAGCGCTCTCACCAGTAGCCGCAGCCCGCAGCCCGGCAGGACACCGGTCCTCCAGCCTCGCTGCACAGCCCGAAACATGGTGGCTGCCATCTTGAACTCCCCCGTACACTCGCTTTCTGCGCGCGCAACCAACCTGGTCCCGCCCCTTCCGGCTCGCCCGGCGCCCACCCCCACCCCACCCCCACCCACCCCGGGACCGAGAGAACGCCTGCGCAAAGCACAAAGAGGCGGAGCCAGGCGGCCTAGGGCGGTACAAAAGTCAGAGGCCTTGTCGGTCGCTCAGCAGTGACGTGACACGCAGCAGGCGACGAGGCCGTACCCGCCCTAGCTCCTTCCTCTTTCTCGACTCCATCTTCGCGGTAGCGGCAGCGGTATCCGCGGTTCAGGTAAGGTTTGTGCCACGGATGGATCCGAAGGGCTCGCAGGTTGGCCGCGAGGTTGGAGGACGCGGGAAAAACGGGGGAAGAAGGGCTGCTCTGGGGGCCAGGCCAGTCCCCGTCCGACCTCCCTGGCAGGCCCGGCCTTACCCACGTGAGACCCCGAGACCACCTACTTTTCGGCGCCGTCGTCCCCGGCCTGCCACCCATTTTCTGACCCTCCTCTCGCCCAGAGTATTTTTTCTCTTAACAGCACCCCCCCTTTTTTTTTCAGTCGCCAACATGCAGCTCTTTGTCCGCGCCCAGGAGCTACACACTCTCGAGGTGACCGTCCAGGAGACGGTCGCCCAGATCAAGGTAAGGCTCCGTGGTGCTCCCTGGGGTCTTCTGTGTTTTTCATCCTCGCCCGCCGCGGGAACGCTGAGTCTCGTTTTTCCCTGTAGGCTCACGTAGCCTCGTTGGAGGGCATCGCTCCAGAAGATCAAGTCCTGCTTATGGCAGGCACACCCCTAGAGGATGAGGCTACCCTGGGCCAGTGTGGGGTGGAGGCTCTGAGCACTCTGGAAGTAGCCGGCCGCATGCTTGGAGGTGAGTTGGGGAGGTCTGTGTTTTGAACTGCTTTGTAAGCTCATGGGTGTAGGGTGTGTGCTCAGTCCAGGGTGGTTCTTCCTGTTTACATCTCTCAGAACGAACTTTTTGAGAGGTCCATGGGAGACTGAGCCAGAGTGTCATTCTATTTCAGTCACTTACTAGATAAAACCCTTGTCTGTGTCCTAATTTACTCACTAAAATCAGGAGGTCGGACCAGATCTCCAAAGTGCTCTTTAGGCCTTAAGGTCAGTAGTTGGAAAATTCTGAAGTGACACCCCAGAATGTACCAGACTAGACATTCTTAGATTTCAAGTCTTTGTGACTTTGTTTTCATTCCCTGTTTGGGCCCATCTTGCCTTTAAACTTGAGTTGAGGGAGAAAGGGTTCTGCTGGGTGGGGCCTTCTTGTTCTAACTGCTTGCTGTTCTCCTTTCCTATCACAGGTAAAGTCCATGGTTCCCTGGCCCGAGCCGGGAAAGTAAGAGGTCAGACACCGAAGGTAAGTGAGAGT